AGGTAAATTTGAGTAAGTGGATTCCCTTGTTCCTCTACTTGCAATGTTTAAGGCATCAGCCGAAAAAGACGTTTCGTGCGATTCCACCCGCCCCGAACTCGCACCTCGAGCCAGCGAAGCGTGCAAGCTTCAGGTTGTAGATCAACGGCACCGCCCAACCTCGGACGAGATCAAAGCTTGCACGGCTAGTAGCTCATGTGTGGAATCCGGAGAGCTTTGACATTGGAAACCACCCAGTAGAAAACTCTGTCCAAATCGTGCGCATGTTGAGTACGCCCTGTTCAGCCTCAATTTCCGCTCGGGTCTGCTTTTCATTGCCTGCCGGGGAACGAAAAAGAAAGACAGGCTGGGCCAACGTGTAGAAAACCTCTTTGAGCAGTGTTCGCCATGCTTCAGAATCACGAGGGCGAAATTGGAGATCATGTCACGCAAACTCATTTGTCCGGCAATTCATCTGACCTCATCTGACCCAAACAGCTTCCTCTTCTTGACAAGGTCGGTTCTTCAAAGGGATGCGATCTGTGGATGCATCCGTTCTGTGACGCACCCTTGGTGGCCCTAGTGAATCGCAACACGTCTTTTTCCAGTGCAAACATTTTGCCTGCATGTGTTGTACACTAATTATTTCCAAGACCTGAGTACCGGATCCCCAAGTGAAGGATCATTAGGAGGGTGGGCTCGTTTTAGCCCCGAACCGGTGAGCGCGCCATAAATTATGCAGAAACATTCAAACATCCCGAACCCCTCGACAAGTGTTGCTCGGATCTGGGCGTCCCATAGGCACGAACATGCATTGCAGTAACCGCATGTGACCGCAACATTCCCAAATCCGACGATGCTGAACCCTTCTCTTGAACATGTCCCATGCATTTCTATGTGGGTCCATGTAGGCGTATGTCCTACATGTGTACCATCCTGCAAGGCCAACCGCATGAAAAAACAACGTGTGACAGCTGCACAGAAATGTGCCAACACATTGGCATACACATGCACGTCACTACACACATACATGCGTGCCCAGACACAGACACACACACACACACACATATATATATATATATATGTGTGTATAGTGTGCATATTTATATACACATATGTAAATGAGGGTTGTCCAATATTAATATTACTTTGCCTGGGGACCCCCCAACCGCCGGCCAATCGCGATCCAATCGTGATCGCACAGATTCCAATCGCGGAGCAACGTTGGTCATCGCTGCTGTTGTTTCGCTTTTAGCTGTCTTGCCTCAGCTGGCCTTCCTCCATTCATACCGGGAACGGGAAGGAAGTAACACAGCTCGGATGGGCAGGGCCTCACTGGTGAAAATCGTCCAATCGCCGTCCAATCGCCTTCCAACCGCGGTCCAATCGCGGAATTCGGCGGAGAAATTTCGGCTTGCAGCTTCCGGCCTTTGCCAGTAAGCAGATTTAGAAAGCGCAGCCTGGACTTGCGCAGGCGAAATCAACATTCAGCTTTCCAGGAGGACCTTTTGTGCGAGCCCGTGAAGTCAAAATGAGCGAGACGCGCGTCGGCACCACAATCTAAACACCATGCAGCGTCTAAATTCACAATAATTTCGTCGCGGCTCGAGTTTTCCCAATCGCGCGGTTCAATAAGTTCCCGCTTGTTCATAAGTTTTAGACATGCAATTACGGACGGCCCCCATATACATATACGCATGTGTGTTAATTGTCTATGTGTGCGCTTGCCGCCGTGTTCTGCTACAACCGCTTCTGGACGGATCAAACGACGCCACAAACCAGTCAGCCCGTTTGCCGAGTCTGTGCTGCCTTTGCCGAAGAGCGTGCCGGCAGCCAAGCGGACGGCAAGCGGTAGGCGAAGCCGCCCATCAAGACCACCGCGAAGAGGATAGAGATGGCGGCAGCCTCACAGCCGTGTCTGCTGGGTGATTTGGTTAGCCTGCAAAATGAAACACCCTTGTTTCCGGAGCGTTGGATAGGGAATGTGAGTTGTTTACCAGATGTTGAATTTATGGGCAGTGCAAAACAAATAACGAGATACTTGTTAGAGTTCTCGGCTTTTCCCTGTCTGTGTCATACATCACCGCGTTTCTTTTTGGGCCTCGCCGCTCACGCTTACGCCCCCGTCAAGCTCAGCTTTGGAATGCCACTGCCCTTGGACAAGTATTGAACGACCACTAAGAAGCCATGGGATACCATGGTTCGTGGGCATAATTCACAGGGGAATCGCATCATTCCAGGGTTTCGTCTCGTCCATCCACAGGACTTGAACCACTCAGTTTTGGCAACCTGGCTCTGCCCACGGCAGAAAACATGTACCTGTGCGTTTGTGTTCGCTTCATGATCCAAGGAAGGTCTCTCTTCGAAATTAACTTTGAAGTGAGTCCCACTCTCGGAACAAAAAGGTGCCAGACTTCCGCGGCACCTCCTCACCCGTCCTCACATCGAAACTGAATTCATCAAGTTAGCCACTGCTGGTGCACTACTCTCAGAATGAAGTTCTGAATGAAATCCCGCAGGCTTTGGCAAAGGTGCTGTGGAAGTCCTTGATTGAGTTTCAGGCACTCAAGCAATGAGCCCCTTGAAGCGATGCTGTTGCCAGCATCGCAAGCACCAAGGGAGCCTCGCCAACAATCAGCTAAACGTGGCATGTCTTCTTCGTGGCTTTTTTTTGTCGAAAAACGCCACCTTTCTGGTGCCCTTCCTGGGTCCTGGAAGGAACAAACGTCGTCAAACCGAGGCTCCCCGTCGCAATGCTTCGAATGAATGGGAATCTGAGTACAGTGGGCTTATCTCAGGCGCCCCGAAAAATCCACGCTGCCTAAAGCGAATCATCTCAGGCGCCCTAAGCAACATCCGCGCTGCCTAAAGCGACTAGCCAATCCAGATCCTAGCTCGCACCTCGTTTCCCCCCGTTTCGCCTAGAGCGTGTCGGCTCGCTCGGCTCGCGCCCTGAGGTCCCAGCGAAGCACACCAGCACCGAGCCAGTCCAGCGCAACGGCACGTGCCAGGCGTGGCCCCTGGGAGTCGCGAACGCCGCACGCCGAAGCCGGCTCGGCGCGGTCGAAGAACAGGGATCCTTGCATGAAAAGCACCTGAACATTGCAACTTGTAAATGGTGGCTTCCCTTCATGTTTGGTGGAAAAAGCCATGTTTCAAATTGGCAAAATGTATCTTTTAAGGAGCCCTGAAGAACCAGGATGGATCGAATGACTTGCTGTAGGCCGGTGGGATTTGTCATCTTTTAGGCTCACTCCCTGAGTTCATGGACTTGGGTCGCTTATTGGGGTTGGACCATTTCAGTGGCAACCAAACAGTTCAGATTTGTTTGGGCAATGAGAGGCAAGCAGGAATCTGTGCTGGTGCCACCTTGTGGATGAGGCATAACTCATAATTGCTACGTACACGCCTGTACACAGGGTGGTCCAATGGCATGTTTCCCAACGACTTCTGGTTCTAACATGGTGAAGGTGTATAAAGTCTCATGCAAAAACCGGGTAGGAACCGAACCTAAGCCAGCCCTAGGGTTCTGGGCGTCCGCATTCAGCGCCCACCAAGTTGCTCTAAAGGCTCCGTCCGCTTTGCGCAGTGCAACTGGGGCCAGAGATCGTTGGCCAGTTCCTTGGCGGGATTTTTCGAAAACGCGACGTTCGCGAAATTTGGGAGACGAGTTGAAAGAAAAGAAGCTCATTGAGTTTGACCATATGGAAATGGACACCTAATGTTGACCCTGTTCATTAATACGGGGGTGTCCCCGGTCTTAGTGTGGATTCATCACTTTGGGAGGGGAACACCCCCATATTAATAAACGGGGGTTTGTTAATCCGGGGTCAACAGTATACCAAAAGTGAGAAAAAGAAACGCAGTACCAACTGCTAAGGTGTCCAAAGCATTTGGCCGGGCATCTAGTTGGAAAGAAAGCCCCGCCATCAGCACGCAGTGCAGCAGGAGAATCACGACTTGCTCCAGCGCCTCGCGAGCGAGGTTGTGCTTCGATCTCCTTTGAAGGAAGCCACCAAAGTGCACCACTGCTTTGAGAAAAGCATATGCTTGTCCACGAAAAGGCAAACATGTTTCCTGCACTATTTGGCACCCCGAAGTGTTGCTTCCTAGTAGTCGGTTTCCTTGTTGCTTACCTGTCCCATCCTAAATTGCGTTTATATCACTCCACCAAAGACCATCCTGAGAAGCCAAGACAGTAGGGAGGAGCAGCCGTCAGGCCTTAAAAAAGTGGGTGCAGCAAAAGTGTTTTGCTTGCCCCCCAGTCGAAACCACTACCAACCCCAAAGAAACAAATGTAACACGAGTGTTTTCCCTTGGAGGTAGTTGTACGGGGTGGTGGGGGCGTAGCTTCCCCCCACCGGAAACCCCTACCAACCCAAAACAATAGGCCAGAGATTTTGCCCTCGGAGGTAGTGGTAGCAGTCTAGGGGCGTAGCTCCCCCCCCTCCCAAACCACTAATTACCAACCAAAAAAACGGGGTGCAACAACAATAAGTTTTCCGTTAGAAGTAGCACACCCAAAACCGCTGCCAACCAAAAACACGGGGTGCAACAAAAGCTTGGTTTTGGAGGTTGGTAGTGGCCTGGAGCCGATCAATTCATGTGTTGTCGTAGCTATCCTGGCCGAGTAATGGCCGAGTGCTGCATTCCTTGAACGGCCCGCCCCCATCTGACCGACCAGATATTTTCCCCGATGCGAGGGAAACGAAGCTTGCGCGCGAACCACCAATGCCGTCACCAATGCCGTCACCACTCAAGACAGCGACCCTCCCAGGCGCTATTGGAACAGAAGTCGTATATGTCCATGCCGTGCATTCATAAGCTCATGGGACTGCTGGTAGGGTTTTCATCCACCGCAACTAGTGTGGATTCTGTCCAAACATCACGCTGTGAGGTGCCGAACAAGGCGGTGCCAGTCACCCAGTGACATCGCGATATTTGTTTTTCAAAGCGCAGGGGAACATGCGGGATAGTTGAACCAAGGCTCCTTTCCTGAGTGGATTCCAAAAAAGTCCCAACTTTTTACTCACCACCAAAATTGTTAGTCCAGGAACTCAGGAAGTGAGAAAGAGCAGGTTCATGAGAAAAGGGCCTGCGGCATCTCACTTGGCCAGTGACCAGCCAAACAAAGTGTACACTTTTTGGGCCACCATTAACACAAAGGGGATCGTAAGGCGATTGGCGTGTTAACGCAGCTTTACATCTTGCCAAACCAACCAATGACCAACTCCACTGGTTGCTCCTGTCTGACTTGAGTGGACTGACCCCAAAAAAGTCCGAACTCTTTGTTTGCCACAAGGGTTCTTCCCAAAAAGCTTAGGGTTCATGAACTCGGGGAGGGTTGTGCACAACACGGGACCTGACACTGCTAGAGAAAATTCGCATCAGCCAAACACTTCCTCAGACATGCATCTCTCAATCCAAAAAAGTCCATCTCGCGGCAAAAAGCAAGGCCCACCCAAGGACGATCTCAATGATGCATTGCTGGAGGTATTCCTTTCTGGAGCCTTTGTCCCAAGTTGTTCTGCGGCCATACAAACATGTGCACATGGTTTGGTAGAAAGTTGAAGAGCACAAAAGGCTTGTTGCATTCTAATTGTTCGCCTATTGGCTCAACCTGTTCGGCGGCTTTCTCGCAAGCTGCAGCGCGCAAACTCCAAGCTCCGGCGTGTATCCCTGATGGACTAAGGCTCTTCATGAAGGGGTGCCGCATTGCCATTTTTTTCTTGCTGCTATCCGATCTTCCCAGTTTAGTGCGTTGAGAGCCCCCTGGACAAAATGAGAAGAAGATATGTCCAGTACTTCGTGAAATCGATTCCCTTTAAAACCAACAAGAGAATAAGCTCTGGTATTATTCCCAACAGCATGCGGTGCTCTTTTTAGTGCTCGCACCCCGGCACCACCCCGAAGCCTATCTGGGCTGAGACCCCAAAGCTTTCAGCTGTTGGGGAAGAACACAACATATTCGTTTCAGCAAGCACGGAGGTCGCACAAGCGACGCGGCCGCACGATTTTTGGGGGGGCCGACGCGTGAAACGCGGCGGCCGCAAGCGGCCGCTTCGCGCGTCGCCTGCCCCGCGGTGGCGCAGGCGGCGAAGCGCAGCAGGCCGCTGCGGCGGAGCAGCAGTCCCTCCCGGCCCAGGGCCAGCAAGGTGTAGACGTCCTGCGGTAGAAACTCTTCCAGGCATGAAACCCAATGGTCCTAAGTGCCTATACCGCTGAGCGGGATCAGACCAGTTTTGGAGGTTAGAATAAGGGTACCGTTTCTTTTCTTGTTTGTCTATTTTAGTAGGGGAATCCTAGTCTTGGACCAATACACGCAGCATCACGCAGCCTTGGTATCATACCGGTATGGTAGCAAAGAACCACTTTCGCTTTGGCATCCCACTGCTAAAAAGCAAGAGCACCGAAAAGCGCGGAAAAAAATGCTGGCAGCAGTGAAGACCGATAAACTAGGCCCACGTATCCTCAACAGCTCCGGAAACCCTGGAGCCCTCCGCAACCCTCCCTGAAAGCTGCCCCAAACCACCCCAGAGCCTATTTGGGCACAGACGCCACAGCTGTCCAGCTTTTGGGGAACAAAAAAAGTGTCGGGAAAGGGGGAAGCTTTGTTGGACTGGCAGTGGTTTTGTTGAGATGTGCCAAGGGTCCTGACACTGACATTTTGTCCCACTAGTTTCAACAAAACAACTAGCAAACTCTGCGACAAGGAGCTCAGCGCATTCGCAAAGTAGGCTCGAGATGAAAGGTCACCAATCGTGGCCACATGTTGCTGCAACCATATGTGCATCACATCGGGTAAGAATCGGCTAGCACAAGAGAGTTGGGCCCTCACTCAAAATTAAGCGGAGTCGCTGGCTGCAATTAGCATGTTGTTCACGTGCGAAAAGGAAGGGCCTCTCATTGCGCAACTGTTGAAAAGGCTCCGGGCAAGCTCCATGAGTTTGTCCCAAAACAGAACGCAAGTTCCACGTGGGTTTGCCTCAAAACCGGTGAATCCCCACAAAGCGTGGGTTCCCTTTCGTTTCCCGTATCCATCCCGACCCGAACGAGAAAAACAACGCTCGCCGCCTGGACAGGTTTGAGGCACCGGCGGAATTCTTGGGCTATTGCTTAAAAGACACTGAGGTGTGTACATGTAAATGAATGTGATAGGTGCGTACATCCTCGGTTGCTTTCTGCTCCCCAGGTTGAAAATTAACGTTTAGTGGTTCAACGGAAAATCCATTAGTTGGCAAACAGTTAAAGTCCTAACATCCAAGCAAAATGCGCCAAAATACATGCATATGTGCAAAAGAATGTGAGCAGCATGAGTTTCCACTATCCAGTCATCAAATAACGCATGCAAACACCCACTACCGCACGGCCCACTATCCAGTATGATCCTGTCATCAAACAAGAATTTCAAGCAAATGATAGTTGTGACCCTCTAAAATGTATGCACTCCTCTCGGAACAAGGCACCCCTGATTAGTACGTGCCCCTCATCCGTATGCTCCTCCAGACTAATTCTAACTTCAGATTGAACCGGACAGTGCTGATCAGGGGCGGCTCCCCTTTTAACCAATCCCCAGTGAACATAGGGAAAACAAAACATCGGGCACTGCTTCTTTGGCAGGTGTCAACCAAAAAAAGAAATGAGGGAAACCCCCTCGCAACAAGGAGGAATGATGGAACCCCCTCACAAACAACACAACATGATGGACACCTCCTACAACAACAAGGAATCATGGAACCTTCTCACAAACAAAAATGATGGAAACCTCCTACAACAACAAGGAATGATGGAACCCCCCTCAAAGAAAACAGAGAAAAAAGGGCACCCCCCAGAAGATCTGAAGCTCTTCGCTATGGCAAAGCGTCAAAGAGCGCCAGCAGCAGAGCTGCAGACACCGCCCCCAGAGCCGCCGATGCGCTGAGCAGGCGGTGCAGGCTGCGCAGCTTCAAGAGGAACTGCTCCAACTGGGCGCCCGTTGGCCGTTTGAACCGACTGAACCCTCGAGACATGGCTGTTCTGTGCTCACTGCTCGAGTGGATGGCCCAAGAGAAGTAACCAAACTTTTGTTTTTGACTAAACTTGGTTGATGTTGGAAGGGGAGCAACAATATTTTGTTAGCAGATAAGTGGGGATTTCAACCACTCAACCAAAATAAGCCAAAATGGTTCAAATGTTTCCCAACAACAACCATGTAAAACGGTCCAAACACAACAAGTCTATAGTCCAGGAACTCCGGAAGTGAGTAATTAGATGCTGTGCCTCCAGCTGTTCAAAACGAAGGCTTCGCCGATCCCAACCTATGTTCCTTGGAACAATCACTACGCCAAAAAAAAAATCTTGCCTAACCCAAGGGTTGGTCAGCGCGACTTGTTTTGGCCTTCGGCCCCTTGAAGCCTCGGTTGCTTTCTGCTCCCCTGCTAAAAGTTGAACTTGTAGTGGTTGAATGAAAAGCCCATTAGTTGGCAAGAAGAAAGTCCTAACATCCCTTGGCAAAATGCGCCAAAGAAACTTCAAACATGAACACTCAGACCCAAGCACCCCGAAGCGAAGCGCCGGGGCCCGCGCGGCGACATCTGCATGGAGCAAAAACCGCGCCAAATCCACCATGGCTTGCAAGCCGCCTCACAGGCCCCAAGCGTCAGAAGGCACAAACGACACAACCTGGGCTGTGCTCAGATCCCCCGCTAAAAGTGAATAACCTGTAGTGGGCTAAATGGAAAACCCCACTATACACTAGAAAGCTAAAAAGCGAAGGAACCGGATGGCTGGGAGCCACCAAGAAACATACAGCTCCATGGAATCCTCCCGCTTGCCCGTTGGCTGTGGCAGAAATACTCAAAATATGGCTTGCTCGACCGGAAGAACAAAGATAGAGACAACTAAGAATCTGATTCAGAGAGAAAGACGCAAACATACAAATACAAGAGACAACACGTGACACATCCAACCCTATGCCACACCAACAACGCGGACCAGCACACAACACACGCGCAAAGGCCAAACCCTTCACAATGGCTTTCGTGCCTTTCAGAAAATACCTGATCGTTCTGGCAGAGAAGGCGAACAAGCTAATTCAAGCATTTGATGGAACGAACAGGCCAAATCTCCTAGACAATGCAGGTTTGGTGTGTCAAAGCATGTGCGAGCTTTGCATGCTCAGCCACATGAAGCATTTAAGGTCCCTAACGCATGGACGCACGGGCCTGCAGCTTCCACACTACCCTTTGAAATGAGTTTCATAGCACATTTTCGACATGGCCAATTAGTCATCCGGGGGAGGAACATTATAGCAAAGATCCCGCCTACCATAAGGGGGAGGGGTCCCACAATTCCGATTTCTAGCCCATAAAGGAAAAACAGGGAACCAATCATGGAGATTTTTAGGAGGTCACACCCCTCCCCAATTCCATTTTTTTGTTGGGGGGGGGGGGGGCAGGGTGGGGATCAGCAAAGCCTGCGGATCAACCTTTCAACATCCACCTGGGAAGCCATACCAGGCGCGTGATCGCCTCGCTTCATGCGCGCCAACTCACTTCCAATCGAGTGGATTGGCCAAACAAGTTGGAGCTCTTCTTGGTTGCCGCTAAAATGGTTGCCGCTAAAATGGTTCAAACCTGAAAAGCGGCTCAAGTCCATCAGGGAGTGAGCCGGAAAAATGATACATCCCAACGGCCCACCTGAACAAGTCCTTCCCGGCCGACAAATCAGAGGGCCCTGATCTGCTTCCGCAGGCTTCCAGGACTTCCAGAAATGGGCGGACCTCCTAAATCATCGTAAATGGGCTTGTCTGAGGCTCAAGAAAGGCCAAGCCCCCGAAATGGGCGGTGCTATTTTGCCTTTCCTTCTACACCAAGCCCAGAAAGGGCATCAATAAAATACACACCCAAAACCGCCCCCCGGTCCCCATGCGGTGTATGGCGGCCTCCGCTTAGAGAAGTGGGCAGCTCAAGCAACGGATGCATGCCCTGCTCCTCTGCTCCCCTGCCTCCCCTCCCCTCCCTGCAAGTCAGGTAGCCACAAAAGCTGCATGGTGCAAACACCTGAGGCTCGCAACCAAGTAGTGCAAGGATCTGGGGCTCTGTGCAAACTTGGGCAGTCTAAAAATCGCCTTTTAAATTCCCACAGGGGTGGACATTCGCCACATCCAGGCCGTGTTCTAGATTATCCAAGGGGAGCCAGGGTGCCTTTTCTTGCCAGCGAGAGATGCAAGGAATGAGAAACGGAATGACAGCGGGAGTGAGAAATGAAAGGATCCCCCAGGAAAAAAACCGTCCATCCGATCTGGCTTCCTTTAAGGGAATCTTCCCTCATTCCCTACCTATCCTCACTTGGCTCCAAAAAAGTCCAAACTTTATAATATACCACTAAAATGGTCTTCCCAAAAAATTTGGGGTGCCCTGAGCACCAAGGGGCCGCCGCGAGGTCATCAGAGATGCCATGGGCAAACGCCACAGCGTCGGGCGAGAGGGACGTTCCGCGCCCCAAGATGCCACCTGAGTCCAAATCAAAACCTGGTTTTCCAATACATATGTTTCTTAAACAAATGGGCTTACAGGTGAGGTCATATGAGCCACTACCAAAAACTGGCTGTAAAATGGCCTACCCAGAAACATGTAAAGAATTAAGAAGGCGGATATCCGCAGCTTTTTATGGTTGGGATTGCCCGTTGCTAACCTTCATCTTCCCGGGTTTTGATGGTGGCTCACCTGAGCTTGGTGCGGCCTGTGGTCAGGTGACACCGCATGTGCAGAAACCTAGGGCAAGGTGTGAGAAAGACCATGCTTGTCAAGATGGGGGACTAAAAGGTCAGATCTGGTCGATTCGCTTTGGACAACTGAGCTGACCACCCCCAACAAGAGAAGTGCCATCTTCCCCAGTATTGTGCCCTCATGTACTAGGTCCTCCAGTAGAGAGGTTAGACTAAGGGTACCCTTTTTCTGTAGTCTTTTTTAGGAACCCGCCCCCCAAAAACGAGCAAAAGGGCACTACTGGGGGACCTGGTCCTTGTGAGGGCCCAAAGCTTCCTCTCTCTCATACCAAAGCGCACAGGGCCTGCGTGTCTTGGCAGAGCCGGGATCAACCCTGAGACAAAAGGCTGAATGATCATGCCGCCATGAGACGGACGCCCTGTCGAAGTTGCAAGCGGATTTGATGCGCTGAGCTCGCAATCCCTGGCTGCCCTAGCTTTTTCGAAGGAAACTTCAAGGGGAAACTGGGCAATTCCTAGGTCTGTTCCTGTAGAAACAGACTTCTCCCCCCCCCTCCAAGCCAGGGGCAGGGACGGCGCGTGTCCAGCACAAAGAAGTCGAACCCAGGGTTCCGCATCCACGGGCAGAAGGAGCTGAGGTCGGACAGGTCCTTAGCCACTTGAAAGCCAAGCCATGGCTAGGAGCCATGCGGGTCGCACATCCAAAATGACTTGGTTCCTGTGGACCCCCCTGCAAAAAATAACTTGTTCGGGGTTTAGTGGAAAACCCCTTGATTCCCCAAAAAGTTAAAGTCTAAAGATCCAACCCAATAGCAGTCAAGATGACAATAATCTAGCAGCCCTTGGTTTGTCCTGAAATCCGAGTACTTGAGCGTCATAACGGCCCAAGTGGAAAAACCTGCAGCCTGGTCGGCTGGTCCGAATGTCATCACCACACGCCTCATGATGAGCGAGCGCGTTTCACGCTCTCTTCTTGCCATGTTGACTGGAGTTAAACGGCCTCTCTCCAAGGGAGACGCTTGAAGGCCCAACAAGTTTCCCAAGCCAGGTATGACCTCTGGGTTGCCCCGAGGTTGTGAAACTGGCCAACTGCATGATGTCTATAGTTCCAATTGCCGACTGACCAAATTCGGGCAAGACAAAGACCCAGAAATGCAGCCTTGGACATGCCCTTGACCACACTTATATGCGAAAGGGTCCTTTTTGGGTGCGAGCCTTGATAGAAATGTTCCCACCGTTTGTGCCACGGCGCCTGGTCTCGGGGGCCATCTTGCGGATAGCAGCCCCGCAGACCAGTCGCATCTGCAGGGCCCAGGGAGAAGGCTTCGAAAGCCGTCGACCTATCCGTGAAGCGCTCCGATCCCAAGCGGGATCGGTTTCTTGGTTGACGTTGGGTAAATCAGAAGGCATAATCGAGAGCTTCAAATAAAGAAAAGTTCCTTTAAATACACATCCAAAATCATCTATAAGTATGACGATGCCTCTCGTATGCTAAATTTAAATATATTCTAAATTTATTATATCAAAAAAATATGAAGGAATAATGTTTCCTTAATATTCAGTGTATTTATGAGAAAGAAAAAGAAACATATTCTATGTTAGAATATAGGATCCTATCTAAAGCAGTATTCCGCCTAACTTCATAAGGAATTCCGAAGCCGTCATTGTCCCTTCCAATTATAGAATTCAGATTTGGGGAGCAAACATTTAAATCTTGGCAGTTAAGTGGTTGGATTTCCACCACTAAACCACAATAAGCAAAGATGTAAAATGTTTCCCAACAACAACCGGGGCGGTTCCCCTATTTTGGGGGAGTCATTTCGCGATTCCATGAGTTGGTATGGCCCAGGACATGCCGAAGTAGACATTAAGTGGAGCATTCTGGCAGCAAATTGACATGGAAACCCTCAACAATCCAAATCATTATATCTCCAGGGATGTGCTTTGAACCCATGCTTTTCGGGGTTTCCAAGTCAGTTCAGAATCTGATATCTTCTTGTACATTCCCCATTGCCTAGACATGGCTAAGAATTCCATCAATTGCTTTCTACTGCGAGACTGCTAGAAAAAAAACATGACTAGGGCACACTTGGCACTCGAGGGCAATGACACAGATCCACACGAAGCCTGTCGGGTCTACCCAATGGGCAGGCCCATGAGCAAGGTCTTTTCACTTCCGCGGAAGCAACGCTGCGGCAAGGAAAAGCCCTTCGCCATCTTGGTCCTCGTCCGCGGTATGGTGAAAAATGCCATTGAAGCTAAAAAAGGGGGGTTCACAAACTAAAGGACGCGCCGTTCCGAACCAACCCAATTCTATATTACCCCTCTGCAGAGATGGAAAACATATGTAGCTTCTGCAAAGATTGGTCATAATATCTTGGGTGCTGTAGACCCCCCCGCAAAAAGTTTGACTTTTGCTGGTAAAAAGGAAATATGAGGAGAATCCAAAAAGTTAGAGGTTATAAAGTCTAAAGATCCAACCCAGTAGCAGTACAGATATGTAAGTTGGCTCGGAAGCCGACCTCGCCGCGACTGGCCAAGCCTTGCCAACAACGCAGGGTGGCAATTTCAGGGCTTCGCCCATGATGAGACCGGATAGATCGGCTCTGTCCAAGTCTCCCCCGAAGCCTCCACTTGGAATATGTGACTAACGCCCCTTTTCTCCAGTTCCGGTCAAAAAACGCAGATATCAGGGCTTAAATATTTCGAAGGGGGCTATGAGCCATCACATTGCAACACACATTCAAGCCATGATGGTTTCAGGACATAGAGATATAAAAAAAACTCCACCAAAAAACACGGAAACACAGCTACCTCCGCACCTTCCCAAGCTCAACACCAGCTACCAGCCAGCTCCCCTCCGCCGCTTTCGCCCCCGCTCCGACGGCCGAGTTCGCGCCTGGCGAGCGCGCGGGCGCAGTCGCCCGGGCGCCGGAAGAAGGCCCGCGGAGGCAGGCGGTGGCTGTTCGCACAGGTGGCGTTCTCCTCGGCTTTCTTCCTGGAGTCTCCTTCTGACCCTTAAGAAATGGTTGGTCACTGACCCCAAAATAATGGTTGGTCAATGACCCATTTTAAAGGGTCATGGAGACTCTAGGTTCCGCTTTTTGTTGCTTCTCTTGGCACCACCTGGAGAAAGTGAAGGGCAGTGATTAAAGGAAAATCACAAGTAATTATGGTCTTAAGTACTTCCAGTAGTGATATTTCCGTTTGCTTCTTTAGCGCCTGGAGATAATCCAGCAGTGATATGGATTTCCTTAAACCCAACAAGGGAAAAAATGGTCTTAAGTATTTCCAGTAGTGAAATGGATTCCCTTAAAACCCAACTCCCGGAGAAAGAGAGAGAACATATGTCCAGTAGTCATAGGTTCCCTTTAGAACCAGCAAGGACAAATAACCAAAGTAGTCTTAAGCAAATGGAAGTTTCGTGCTATGGCTTTTGGCTATGCAGCGGATTGGCCCGGGCCAAGACTCAAGTCCAGGAACTCGGAGAGTGACTCCGACTTCTTCAGTGAGGGCGGTTCCCGAATTTTTTCGATCGAGGAACCGCATAATGATAGACCTCTAATTCAGCAATGTTTCAAGCCGAAAGAGGCAATATGGGGAGCCCTGCCGAAGGTGATGGACACGTGTTGTTCAATGGAACTGGGAGCGGTTTGAGGCTTGAGGTGCTATTTTTTCTCCTATTCAAAGGAACAAGTGGAACGGGTGTCTTTGAAGGTCTCTTCTTTCAAATGCAAGGGAAAAGATGCAGTTGGGTCTCTTTGGAGGGCATCGGTTGTCAGACTTTCTCGAAAGTCTGTTCTGGTAAAGCGTGGCGTGGGTATCTTTTGAGGGTACCCGTTCTCAGACTTGTTCAGAGAAGTAGTCTAGGCCTCTGAAGGTATCTATACCTTTTCTCAAAGCTGTTCAAAAGCAACATCCTCAGACTTGTTCACCAAAAAAAGAAACGGTTGTTTTTGAAAGAGTGTCTTTTTGAGGAGACCGGTTCAAAGGGAAAAGTGGAACAGCAGACCAGCAAGAGAGCCAAGCGAACACGTTGGTCACATGCAATGAGGCCTCTATTTTGAGCCCATCTGCGGACAGTTTGGACAACTGCTGGATAAAGGCAACGTATCAACTCCCCTCCCACCTGAATTCAGCAGTGACAAGTAAAAACCTTCATCAATGGGTGAAGGTTTTACCTCTTGTGAGCTCGCCCTGATTAGTTCAGATCAATAAGAGCAACCCACAGAGCTCAACTGCACCGCGATTCTGCGCCAAGCTGCCGCCGCCAGGATGACCCGGCGAGAAAGGCTGGAGGTGGTATACTTCCTTTGGCGCGAAGGACAAGACCAGGAACAAGAATGATACTCAGGGTGGATGCAGGTGGAATTCTGAGCTTGTTGCGCTACGATTTGTTGCAGTGGAAGGGGTCTGACCATATATCCCTCGTCAGTCGGGCTGAGAGCTGGCAGCGTTTCAATCACAAACTCATTGCCCCCCATCACGCGATGCGTCCATCAGCTGCAGCTATTCGGTCCGCAACTGCGGCAGTTGAGAAATGGACCAGACCTTCTTGTGCGAAAAACTTTCAAACTTTGAGGCGGTGACAACGTGCCCATGCCCTCGTTCCAGGCTGCCAAGAGGGCCCCCCCAAAGAAAATCCTAAAGCATCGCATGCAAAAAGAAGACCTGCTCCGAAAAACCTACTTGCAGCAGCACGGCCAAGGCGCTCAATAAACACCAAGTCGAAAACAAAGATAAAGAAGAGCAAGGCTGCGTGGCAAAGGACGATCACAAAAATCACCTCGGCTTCATCGCAGAGGCTTGGGGAACCACCTCGCGCTGGCACGGCTCCAAACGACACAGGCCACTCATAGCTCTCCATACGAAGCTGTTCGAACCCAACCCTTTGGGGGCTGATTTCCCACAACTACCATGTGACAATGTCAGGATATGTCAGGGTTCGAGCAACTTCCCTTTCACCTCCACAAAACCGGTGATTGTTCCAATGGAAACCTCCAGAGAACTGATCAACTTCAGGGGACGTCCAAGGTGGCTCATGCCCCCCACCCCTTGGGCAAAGCGGGAGGCGTCAGCTGGAGATCGGAGGAACGACCAAACCACCGGGGTCAACGTCTTTTGTAAGGTTGGGCCCCCCAAAATGGATTTGGCCTTCCTTTAGTCTGCCTGTGAAACCAAAAAATAATCAAAGGGTTCAAAAACAGGGAACCCGCATGATGCCCAGATTTCTGCATGTCGCTCTTGGTGCAAAGCCCCGAGTTAACACATTGGACGTGTTAAAGGGAAACCATAGGGAAAACCACAATTTTCGTGGGTCCTCTAAAAGAACTCCACTCCCATTTTATATGTAGGGCAAGGTAAATCTGAAGCAGTCTCATGCATGTTTTATTTTTGAAGCACCGCAGTGGGCCAATAGCTTGTAGGTTGCCCGGGGCACGGCCATTTGGAAGGAGCTGTCAGCCTCGGTTTGTAGAACGTAAGCCTTGCCAAGAAGCCTTCATTTCACCGCTTCTTAGTAAAAAGCAAGAGTGCCATGAGCCCTGTTGGGGATGCTTTGTTCGCCGGCGAGTAAATGGCCGTAATATGCCAGCAATGTGGTATTAGTGGTATCTTCCTCATTTTGTTCCGTCAAAAACAAGGCCGCCGTTGCCCAACAGCCACCTAGGCGGATGTCCCGAGAAATCCAAACTTGCCTTGGCCCAAGCCCAAAAAGTCTAAAATCCAGGAAGCGAGGAAGTGAGGCTCAGCACTTGGCTGGGCCTTGAAGAAGTAAGAAGGTGCCCACACCCAAACGGTTGTGAAGGATCAATCCAAGCCACCGGCGGCCCGAGCAGGGCCAAGGGCTGGAAACCGCGGCGCCGGTTTCTCCGCGCCTCGGGACTGAGTCGCCTTGCTGAGAACCCCCCTGCAAAAAATGAGAAAATATATGTCGAGTAGTAATAAGTTCCCGTGAAAACCGAGAGGGGAACGTAAAACATGATCAGAAATGCACATGGAAGAACAAAAGGCGATCACCTTTCGGAGAAACTACAAAGGTTACAAGTCACAAGGATTCGCTTTGGGCAAGTGAGGGAATAAAATCGCAAAACCCCGGATCATGATGCCGGTTGCTACAAGATAGCTGCACGCTCACTTGATCCCAGTAGCCCCGCCACCCCCGTCCCTCGTCCCACGCCGCGGACACTAAGCCACCACCCAAGCTACAGGCCCCTCACAGGCCTGGATTTGTCTTGAGCCATGGACGTGGCGCCAGGAGCAATTCAAATTTCCAGTAGTGATAGATTTCCGTTAAAACCAAGAGGGGAAGATCCTATTTATTCCTAAGCACATGGAAGGTGATCATGGAGGTGAGGATGCCCTCTCTTACCTGGAGAAGACAAATTACAGCAGTTCAGCTCAGCACCAAGCGCGTACTCCAAAAAGCCAAGCTCAGACCTCCGACAATTTCAGGGCGGTACTTAACTCTCACACTGTTTCCTGGCGGGTTGCCAAGGTCATTTGATAGGGTTGCCATATTTGTGTGTGTGCGTGTTTTCGCGGCTACCTTTTCTGTTGGTTTCACAGGGAGGCCCAAAAGGAAAAGCGCCCATGGAAGTCCCACGTCCAAGAAAGAAGAAGAGACACAGCCATGTGCCAGTCGGAACCTGAACCCTCAAACCCCTACTGAGTTGTAGCCTGGGCGCATTGCCGAATGCCCCCAGCGAGCCTTGCAGATGGGACGGGACCCGGCCATACGAAGCCGGAGCTCAAACCATGGGCCGGGACCCCCCGCAAAAAGTGAAGAACTGTTGGTGGGCGAAATGGAAACTAATTACCACTAAACACCGAAAAGCGAAAAGAAAAAAACAAAAAAAAGCGAACAAGTCATGTGTCATGCCTTTGCATTTGTCGGCCCTGCGTGGCCGGTTCTCTCACACCATTGACCCCGGGGCAGTCAAAGCAGGCAAAGACTCGACCAACCAAAGTCCGGGCAGATGCACAACATCTCAGGATCGGAGCGCTTTTGTACTTGCACACATGAGAACAAATGGGCCATCGCTCACTTGCGACCACAAAGAGCTTCCCTCACACGCTCCCACTCGCGACTCACTCTAAGCTTGCTTAATTCAGGGTTGTGAGGATTGGCGCCGGGTGTGATGAAACTCGGTTTTAGCTTGCTTCCAGAGCTGATTTGGAGGTGATATGCAGTTCTCCCAGGGCTACATCGCTTCGCAACATGCAAACTCTATCGGCCCCTGGAGAGGTAGGAAGACTTTTTTGCACTGGGACTCATCTAAGGGTAAAAGTACCTACCATACTTTCCAAGCGGCAAAATCCCTTCTGGGTAGCCGGTTATGAACATCAGGCCTTTTGGGTTCAATTGCCAAAGGCGTATGTAAACGGGGTGTGTACAACCACCCCTGGAACTCACTAAGGTTCGCTCCGTCAGTTGATACCCTTTGTCAGAGCTCTGCCGGCACGGAGAGAAGGTCAGCTCAAGAAAGGTTCACGGGGGTCCGTGTGGCGAAACCCGAGCTAAATTCTGCTGGGCCCAGACCAAGAGAAACTCTGGACAAATGATTTGAGCTGAGGGGTTTGACGGGTCTCTCCGCTTAAATGGTTGCCGGGCCAAAGGAAAATACGGGGCTTCACACCCAGTTTCCCACCACAAAGGTAAGCAAGTGTTGCCTGCCCGAAGGACACACACACACACACACTTTGTCCGTCGGCAAAAAAGAAGAAATGAAGTCTAGCCTCGGAAACCTATTTAATATCAGTGCACGATTTGCTCCCCCCCCCCCCGCCGATTGAAGGTTTCTCCCGTTCCCCTCCCAGATTCCCACCACTACTAAAGTAAGGGGCCAACAAAGTTTGCCCAAAAAAACGCTACCCAATCATTTTTTGGCCCCCCCAAACCCGCCAAGAAGGAAAGGACCGAAGGGGCTCCAAATGGATCAGTGGTCCAACAACATCAGCTTTGCGGCCTGGTTCCTTACTCATCAGGGAAACTAGCAAGGTTTCTTCCAAGATGTTAGAGGTTGAATAGAGCCTCACTACCAGGCTCAACCATCCGCTCACCCCGCTTCCCACCAAAAACAGGGCAAGGGCTCCTCCGGATCGAACCCCCAGAAAGACAAAAATCGAGGCCACCCGCCTCCAGTGGTTGAGGACTCCTCCGAGAGCAGCGCGTTGATGGAGGGCGACGCCCCGGGCGAGGGGCAGTGTGGGAAGTGCCTCGCAGCTCGAAAAGGACGTCGAGCCAAATTGTGGCTCCCCGGCTCCAACAAAAACGACTGAGGAAAATCAGCCATGGTTCTAGGGGTTCATTCCTTGTCCATTCTTTTCAACCATCGTTCTTTTGGAAAACCAGACGTTTTTCCCTGGGTCTCTAGCGGCTTTCTAGAATCTAGAAAGAAGGGGGAAGGTAACCCTAGAATGGTTGGTGGAGAATGAGACATGGAATGAATCGTTTCGGCTTTGGTCCCCTGAATGGAAACCACCAGTTGGATGGTTTATAAGAGTTGTTGCAAGCTGGTTTACGTGACCTCACGCCCATCGAGTGGCTTGGAACCAGCCACAAGTCACCAAACTGGCTTGGAAAGCCACTAAAATCTGGTCCAAGCCCAACAAGTGACTCAGGGAGTGAGCTCCAGCCTGAGAGTCGGAATTCCCTGATGCGGGGGAGAAAAAAAAGGAGGATGCCCCAACCAAAGTGAAGGAATCAGCCTCAAGCCGCCCCAAGGGCCCAAGACCTCCATCAGCTCTTTGAAAGGCAAGGCCTCCCGACAAATATATAGCCCCCCCGCGCGAGGACCATGGCAAGGTGGGCTGGGATCCTGACAAAGGGGCTGCCCCAACCGGGTGTTGGAGTATCCGCGGCCAAATCTAGAGTTGTTTGCTTTCAAGGAATGCCGTCAAAGGGAAGCCTGTGAATTGACTCTCCCCCACTGGGAGCCTAGGGGTGTGCCCGCGTTGAGACAAGACCTCTGGAGGGAACATTTAGGACAGGTTTAATCCGGGGTCAACATGGCCAAACTTCCCCACGATTGAGTCCTGGAAGCACTCGACAGAGCGGTACTTCGCCAGTCTTGACCAGCATTTCAAAAGGCGAGGCCGCCAGCTCATGGGCGTTCTTTTTGACAAACTCGAGTACTCTGCAAGCGCCCCCCCGGTCGATTCTTGGCGGGCGTTTCTTTTGGGTTGGACTTGGGCAAGATGGATGCGGTGCTCCATTTCAGGAAGCCCTTTGCCATCAAAGGAACCGGACCCTCAAACTAGCCATGCGACAGGGGACTTCACCAACCATAAACCGTTGGTCAGGAATCTTGAGGGTCCACTTGGGCTTAAGCCCCTCAAACAAAAAATCCGACTCATCGACCCGATTCAGAAAAAAGGAGGGAGTTCACCAACCATACTTTTTCTTCGGTTGCAATCACGCATTTTCTAAGTGCGAATTTTGAGTGTTCAGGTACTCACTTCCCGAGTGGATGGGCCAGAACAAATACCCAAACTTGTTGTTTACCGCTGAAATGGCCTTCCCAAAGAATAAACATCATCCAGGGATGGGCAAAACAAAAACAGACAGACTTGTTTACCACTAACACGGTCTTCCCAGAAGGCAAGAAAACCAACAAGAGCTCAAAAAAAAGATACCCCCACTTTTTGCTTACCACCAAAACGGCCCTTCCACCCCCCCAAACCCCAAAAAAAAAAACGCTCAGGAAGCGATCGAGGCTTGGTTGCTGCAACGACCCCCCTGCAAAGAGTGAACAACTTCTTGGGGGGCTTAGTGGAAAACACCTGTATTACCCAAAAAGTGAAAGTCTAAAGATCCGTTGCCCAATAGCCGTCAAGGAGGTACCCTCGCAAAAGGAGATTAATTTAAGCCGAAAAACCACTCACCCTGAAAAACAAAAAATCCTTAAAAAGAACGAAACAAAACAATGGCCCTCGATCTAAAAGAAAAATCCGGTCGACCGATCGGCCCCGGAGCCAGGCCCCAGGCTCCGACTCGCGGGTCCGACTTTGGGACCGCGCAAGGCCTGGCGCCAAAATCGCCGGGGACGAGCGCGCAAAAAGCACATGGGGGGCTGGGAATGTCCCCTAGAAACAAAGAAAATATGTTTCAAGTAGTGAAATTATTCCCTTTGAAACCAAGAGGGGACTATTATTGAAAAAAATAAGGAAACGTGAAATCAACAGGGGGACATGAAACATATTCAGAAGCCGCCTGGAAATAATGTGAGTATATGACTATATGTCAAGGAGTGAAATCGGTTTCCTTTAAAACCAAGAGGGGCTCTTAAAAACAAGAAACAACTGAAACGTGCAGGGCAGACAAGAAACAGCTTTGTGGAAGTGACAGAAGCTCACTTCTGAATGTTTGGTTGCCACTAAAATGGGTATGGCTCAAAAAACTGGTACCAAAATGGAACCCTGGTAAGTGGAAACATGGACCAAAACCTGCGTAACCCTAGCTCTTTAATTTTGAGCCACTGCCAAATGGCCTTCACAAGTTTTAAAGTCCACGAGCGCAGTACCGTTGCACCGGGACGAAATGAAGGCCCCGACACCAGCTGGGCCACTTGGGATGGGCCTCCGGCCAAGCGTCAAACAGCCGCCAACGAATGTTAACCCGGTAGGGAGTAAAATGGAAGCCCAGAACCATGCAAATCAAGAATTGAAAAGGCGGATATCTGCACCCATTCATGATTAGGACTATCCCTAACCTTCATCTACCTGGTCGATTGGGGCTCACATCCATCAACCCCAGTGTAATCGAATTTGTCCCTAGGTTTATTGGGGAATCACCAAGCGTTTTGTGCAATAGACATCGGCCATATATCTTCCGCTGGTTCCGTATTGGTTTCCTGCTTTCGGCAAGTATGGTTTCATATTTTGCTGCTTGGAGACATGTGGTTCTGAATTCCCTACAGGTTTCACCCTTCTCAGATTGGGAATCAATTCAGAACTTACCTGTCATTCCCGCCCATTTGCTGCTGGCGCCAGTTGAAAACTCAACAGGCAATGTCAAAATCGGATTCAACCCGCCCAGCACCTACCATTGGCTTTTGGGCAAACTGTCACTACTCCCCATCGGGCAGTCGGAGGGTGGCGACCCGGTTTGTCCTTCCGGGTTTCCATCTGAGCATGTCTTTGCGTAGGCGATCCCTCCCCCCAAAAAAAAACAAGCAAATGCCGGTTTCCCGTTTGGCTTCCCTTGAAACCCAAACAACAAAAAGAACGAACAACTGAGTAAAGATTCCCATCCCTCCCCCCCCCCCTTAAAACAAAACCAACGGCACAAAAAAACAGAGTGATCCTCCCCCCCTTGACGCCGAAAAAAAAAATGGCGCCCTCCAAACAAGACACCCGGTTTTTCCCCATCTGCCTTCAGGTCCAGTGCTGGCGCCTGCGGGCCTCTCCAGCCCCTGCAGGGAGAGGTGTCCGGGGGCTGGAGGCGTCCGACAACTGGACACGAGGTCCTCCAGTAGAGAGGTTAGAATCAGGGTACCAACTTTTTTCTGTAGAAGGGTAGAGGGTATTTCTGGCGGACCTAGGACAGGTCTTCCAATGAATTTGAGGAATCCTTCCAACCAACATCACACCAAACCACGTTAACAATCCAAGCCACCAAGTAGAAGGCAGCTGACTCTGGACAGAAAACGCACCACCGAACTCAGAAACCCTGGTTTCGGAGATATTCCCCAACGTAAATACTAACAATCAATGGCTTCCCCTTCAAAGTGGTGCGAACGGATTTCGTCCATCAACAGTATGGTATGTGTTTTTTTTTTTTTTTTTTTTTTTTTTTTTAAAAAAAAAAAATAATAATAATCTGTTTTTTTTGCAGCCCACTAAAAATGGGGGAAAAAAACAACAACAGACCTAAACACACATGCCAAGTGTGAAGTAATATGCACCCGTGTTGCGTGTCCTTTTGCAAATGTAATTTCCTTTCAAGGATAGGTGCACACGATGCGGTAAGCATAACCAACAAACAAAGTCGCCACTTAGTGGAAGCGCGCAGTTATGCCCAATTTGATTCCTGATCAGTTTCCAAATATCCATTTTCCCCTTTCGGGCGTGCTTTTGCTGCGGAAAAATCAAGCGACAAGGCCAGGACATGGCCAACAATCGAGTCAGCGCCTATCTCCCATGCTAACAATCGAGTCAGCGCCTCCTAATCCCTACCCGACTTTCCATGATTAGACTTCGGCCCAGTTCTAGAATGTGTATTCCATTGTTTGATACCCTTTGAGTCACTGGTACAATGTAAAATGTATCCTAAGTCTGTGTAACCGACTCAGGCGGAGCCGGTGCCTTGCCAGTCTCTGGAGGCTCGGCAGGCCTGAGCTACATGCAAAGCTGGACCCAACAAGTCGGAGCCGGGTCATAGGTGTCCTTTTAGGGCAAGATGGGTTTCCCTGGTGATTAGCTGATAGACCACCAGGTGAGCCAGGAATCGCCACCGGTTTTTTCTACCACAACAACTAAAAAGGACACCTATGCAGCTGATATGAACCCATTAGCTGAATGGCAAATTGGGGATAATATCAGGTGGGTCCGACTTTTTGCGTCTGAGTTTGGTTTTACATGTCTCAAAACGTCGTAGGTTTGGGCAAATCAACCAAGGCACTGCCTGCCATCCGCCTCAATCAGCTACAAGTTCCCTCAAGCAAATTAAAACAGAGTGTGCATCAATGTTAGACAATGCATTTCGCGTTAACTACCCCTTGGTGGGGAAGGCAGGCAGGTGGCGGCGAAAACATTTGATAACCAAGGTGGGTCGCAGGGGCCGGCCTGACACATGGCAAACCTTTGGCTCCGATTGCTTAGGCTCCGCGTGGGTCGCCTAGCACGTCAAGGCCGGTGTATCAGAACTGGAGAATTGCGCTGTGGCCCCCCAATCCTGTTTTCGACCGTGCATAGCTGGATTTTCCTATCACCCGGAAGCCTGCCTTCTGGACCCGAGGCAACTGTCGAAACCTGGGTTGGATTCATGTCCCTTCAGTCACAGCTCCAAGGTCAAACCGGGAGTTCCCAAGGCCCAGAACGTGCCAAAAGGCCCAACAGAGAGAACACATGCCCACAGATTTCATGTACATGTTCTCTCGCTCTCATCTCATCTCTCTTGGCGCTCATGGTAAAATACGTTGCTGTATTTAAAAATGTACTATATGTGAACGCAAAGCAAGGAACCATACTGTGGATGGACGACAATCCTGCACCACTTTGAAACCACTGCAAAGCATTGCATGAGGGTTTTTTGCAGGGACATCGTATCATTCCCGGGCTTAGGTTGTGCGGAATGGATTTTGTCCATCCGCAGTAGTAAGCTACATCTCTCACCAACATTCTCTTGGCATCCGCCCCGACCATCTTTCGCGAACCGAGCGGCAAAGGCTCGCCAGGCACCTCCCCTGCCAAAGGCGACGCATTCCGCGACCCAGGGGTTACCCCCGAGCAAAACGAGAGAGAGAGAGAGAGATGCCATCCTGAGCATCCCTACCGTTTTGAGTTCAACATGGAATTCAAGAACCCAGTTCTGGAGGAATCTCGTCTTTTTTGGGGAGGGGCCCAGCCATGTTCATTTGTAGGGATCTGCCCAAAAATGCCACATGCCCGTGAAGGAAATCGGCAAGGAGAGGTGCAAAGCGCCTCCACCAAAGGTGCTTCGAGTCTCAAAACCTGAGTGGATTGGTCAGAACAGGTCCAGACTTTGCATTTCCCACTGAAAGGGTCTACCCAAAAAGCTTAAAGCTCATGCTACGGGGGCCGTTTAGAGCGCCATGTCGGGCTGGGCAAACGAATTGGGCATATATATATATATATATATACACCTGAATCTTCAGGTGTGCATTTTCCCGCCGTTTGCTGAAAAACACAAATTTCAGTCCTTCGGTCGAACATACACTTCTTCACCGCAAGCGCGTCGTTTCAATTTTGGCTGGAAACATGATCGGGGAAGGTCGCCGTTTGGTCAGGTATTGTCGCCGTTTCGCCTTCATGGATTTGTCCCAGAGGGGCAAAAAAGTGAAAAGTGCCTGGAAACACAAAAACGTGTTGTTCGTCTGAAAAAGCAATGTTCCACCTGAAGATTCAGGTATTTGTGCATTTCTCTACACGAGCGTGTGTGCCCTCACTGGTGGCGGAGAACCCACTCGTTTGCATTCCTGCTCGTGGAGTGCTTCTGCATTTTTTACGTCGACCCAGACGGAATGTGACTCACGAGCCTGGGCCTTACGCTCGACCGTACGCATACCGAGTCGTGAACTATTTGACCCTGCACTTTCTTACACAAGGGTCAGGCCGACATGTCACATTCTGTCAAAACCTGCTGAAACCTGTCAAGAACTAAAACCTGTCCAAACCTACTGAAAACTATCAAAACTTGCGAACACCTACCAAAGCCAGCACCAAAAAAACAAAACAAAAAAAAACAAAAAAACAAAACACACTAAACTGATGAACACTGAAACCGTGCGAAGCCTCAACTCGGTGCCATCCTCGTCCGACCCCCCCGCCCACCGATCTGCCTTCCGGGCGCCCGCTGCGCCGCCCAGCTGGCCGGCCATCGGGGCCTCGGCTCCCAGATCCGAAGGCGTTGGGTTGGACCAGTTGGGGCTTCATAGGTTTTTTCTTTTTCATTGTTTGTTATTTGTCATGTTTTATTTTTTTTTATATTCTAATCATAGTGCAACCATAAACCGGGGGATGCATATATGGACCAACTAAATAAATTCATATTTAAACATGTGTATAGGTTTATATACATTTGTATATGGATGTGTGCCGGACATAGGTTTGTCCCTGAGGAAAATGAAAAGATACGGTTCACTCTAAATTAAGAAGCCTACTCAATGATTGGTCCCAGAGAGGCCTCTGCAAGAAAGCAATAAACGCTGCAAAACGATGAGCACAAGAATGCCCATGTTTCTTTGGCTTCCTTTCGGGGCTTTAGAATACACACGCACACATCGATCTATACATACCTGGAGCCCGACATGTTTGTTGTCCTGGCCGATTGCTTTTCCCCTCTTGTTTATAGCCGTTCTGAGAAAATAGCGACTGAATGCAACAAACAACTCTTTTTTGACGTTTGCCTTTATGGCAGCCTTCAGTCAATGCCTAAACAAACGCTTCCCTAGCGGCTCCAGTGCTTCGCGCATGCCAACCACGCAAGCTTGAGAAGCCAGAAACGCTCCGACGTGCCACTGGGTAAGTGCCCTCACAGCCCACAAGCTGCCCATGGCAGAATTGCAAATAAAAAAATGGCACTGCGTGGGTTTGTAGCATGACCATCCTCAAGAGGCTAAATCCAATCGGCTGGATGCCTTTTGCCACACGTTGCTATGAGATGACCCTCCAAAGAAAAAAAAAACTGCACAAACTTCCGAGCGAATCTTTCAGCCAGGCCACGAGCAAGGCACCGCAAAGCGTCGACTCCTGGCACATTGCACCGCACAAATTGCGAGAACCCAAGGCGGGGGGGGGGTCCCCAAAGGAGCTTCCTCTGAACCATGCAGTCTCGCAACTCCCCACACAAACGCCAACGCCACCCTGCTGGCAGCATGTGGTCGCGGGCCTCTAACACACAAATGCTCTTGAGCTCTGCTCTTCATCGGCTCCCTCTTGAGAGCAGCCTAGGCCTTATGCTGCGGATGTTCATTTTGTCCACTGGCATGGGAGTTTCTTCTTTGACGTTGGAAGGGGAGCAACAATTTGATTTTTAGCAGTTAAGTGGGGATTTCAAACACTGAACCACAATAAGCAACATGTAAAATTCTTCCCAACAACAACCATGGTTCGCATTCGTAACCATTGCTCAGACTTGAACACCTCAGCGAAGGAGGCCTGGTCAAACTCAAGCTGTCGGTGATACGCCTCCGAGCTGCAGATGTTGCAGTTTACTGCAGACCTTGGACTTTCTCACGATGGCAGGTCTAAGAGTCTTGAAGGCTTCGCTCAGCGAGCCTTTCCTCGCGTCTGAGTTCGCCCCACCAAATGCAACGCTCTGGCCCGCGGGTCCTTGCGCATCAGCTTCGCCTGGCAGCTGGATGTGGCAGTCCGTGGGAGGGTAAGTGGTTTTGTGCTTAGGGTATGCGAGAAGGTGTAAGGGTGCTTGCTTGCATGCGTGCTCGCTTTCCAGCGGACGCGGACTGGACAAAACCTAACCCAGCGGGGGAACAAATAACAACTTAAATCGTGGCATGGAAGCCATCGAACGTTGTGGGTTTTGCAGTTTTGCACCTGTCGGGTTGCGCTCATCGGCGCGTGCCCTCGGCACAACGACTGCGCAACCAACTGTGACCCCCGCCTGCGGGTTGAGCTTTTGGCTCAGGCACTCCTCGGAAATTTAGCAAAATCCTACCCCGGCCCTAAGACTCGTTTGGAAGGCCCCCGAACGGCTCAAACAAAGGCGCGAATAGACACGTGAGCAAATGGAAGACAGCCACTCTGGCGAAAAAAATGAGGGAGTGACTTACCACCCAGTTGGTCAGTAAAAGCGTGAATGAGTTCTGAGTTGGCTGCACCTTTCATCCAAGCTACGCGTATTTAACACGTCCTTTTTAGGTTTATGTGGTTTAGAATAGATGGGTTCCACTGCTTTCGCTTGGTTTTATGCCCCATTTTCCAGAAACGTCCAGCCTGTGGCTTTTAACAGAACCCCGCGAGAAACGGGCGTTCACCTGTATATATGTATATATATATATAATATACACACACACATATATAAATAAATAAATAGATATAAATAAATAAACATAAATATATATGTTCGGCGTTGCGACCAAGGTGCCGAGTTGCCACAGGTCGACTCCCTCTGACTTTGGCTCGGCATCCTCCTGAAAAAGGCTGAACCCTTTGGGGCGAGGGTTTGTGCATTTGCTGTGGTCTTCCGGTCTTGTCCCTGCAAGGACTGCAGGCTTCTTTTGGGGCACTTAATTTCTCTGTTTTCTTTGGTGTTTGGGTGGGGGGGGAAATAGAATTGCCACTTCTCATGCAATTTTCTTCACCGAATGCGCACGCATTGCCCTAATGAGCGGAGCGAAAGTGAGTCGTCACAAGGCGTCGAGCAATTTGGGATGCTGTGGATGGGAGGGAGGCTTTCCAACTCCCATCTGGGGTTGTCTCAAACTTGCTGGTTCGACAGGCAGGGAATGAGTTGCAATGACCGAGAAAAACCATCCGCTATGCTTCCTTCAAGGGAATCCCTAGGTTCATTCCCAACAAAACTGGGTCATCCCCTAGCACCGGCAAGTAAAGTATCGGGACGGAACCCTCCCCCAAAACGGGCAAAAGGGCACTACCGGGGACCTTGCCCAAAAAGGGTATCATAGGGTATCAAGAAAAAAAGCCAAGCCACCCATATTTCCCAAAACGGCTTTACGCAAGCGGCTCCCTTGGCCACATTTCCCAAAAGGCCCTGAACCGTTTTGCGGCTTTTTTGGACGGTAATGTTGACCCCGGATTAATAAACCCCTGGTTGATTAATGGCGGGGTGTCCCCTTTTAGTGGGGATTCGTCACTTTTGGAGGAACACCCCCCGAATAGTGGGACGGGTGAATTAATCCTGGGTCAACCGGACTTGGAGCTGACATGGGAGGCTTTCTTTGGGTCGAGTCAAGACCCGCCGTCCTCTGGCACTGCGGGCATCATGCCAAGCTTTTGCGCATCCTCGCTGCGTTCCTTGGCGATTGCTTAATATGTGGTTCCATGCTTCGTTTCCGCAGGTGACACGGGGCACTGAAACCCCTTTTAACTTTTAGAGGAGGCACCATGTTTAGTGCCGCCATACAAGAGGAAGCGGTGCAGAAGTGCGAATGATGCCACTGGACAACCAGCTTGTTCAACTCAACTCTTCGGGCTTGATGTGATTCCTACTTAACGCCATGCCGGTACAAGGTGAAGATGATGTTCACAAACTGTCGCTCAGAATGCCGTTTGAGACAGCTTGCCAATTGTGTCTTAGCGGAGTTTCTTCATTGCCCAGACTGCTCAGGTAAGATTGCACTTGGAAGTCATGTTCCAATCAGTATTTCAGACAATTTCACTGCCACACTTACTGCACATACCTCCCGGAAACTGCTCGGCCACGATTGTTTGGCCCGTGGCGAACCCCATTTGGCGCTTGCTTTCTCTGCAATAATTGCTTGCATTTTTTCGGAGTGCAAATGGTCCCATTTGCTTTCGCACAGGCGGCAACATCTTGACAAACAGCCAGTGGTATCTTCTTTTGCCAGGAGTGTGGACAACAAATTGGTCTTCACTGTGTGAGTGTGAGTGTGCGTGTGCGTGCGCGCGTGTGTCCGGGCGAGCGGGCGTGGGGGCGCGCGTGGTTGTGCGTGCGTGTGTGAACCCCCCTCCCCTCAACACAATATAACGAGTAGTGAGATTTCCTTTTAAACCCAACCAGGAACATTACTGGATGAATCCAAAGGGACCCAAAAAGATTGAATGGATGACCCACATCGATGGATGAATCCAACGGACAGATCGCTTTCAGCCGCCCCGTAAAATATAACTGTGTTGTATCTTCCCTTCACAAACAATCCTGGAAAAAACCAACGGATGAATCCCAAAGGGATGCCAAGGGCAAAACCGCATCAAACCAGCGTTGCTCAGGGCTCTCTGATAAAACAGAAAGGGCCGAACCCACAAAGATTGGGGCACTGCTGCAGAAGTGACCATGAAAGTCCAGTCATCCCACATGACCTTTCCTGGTAGGTGAAGTCATGGCGATGTGTCAAGGAGGCCATTTTGGTGGCTATTCTAAGCCCTCCAGTAGGGAGGTTAGAGTAAGGGCACCCTTTTTCCTGTAGCTATTTTAGCAGGGGAACCCTCCCACAAAAGAGGGTGAAAGGGCACTACCGAAAAACCTAGTATTGAAAAGGGAAGCATCAAGAAAGCTATATTCGCTGTGTGGTGAGTGGTGAAACCTGGGTTGACGTTGGAAGGGGAGCAAAAATTTATTCTTTAGCAGTTAAGTGGGATTTCCCACTAAACCACAATAAGCAAAAATGTTTCAAATGTTTCCCAACAAAACCATGTATTCGCTGTGTGAGTGGTGAAACGATAGAAGAATCCAGTCTGCCGCCAGGCCGCTGGGCTGGGAAAGAAACCCCAAGAAGCTGCCTGAAAGCGACCGCTGGGTCGCGAACCCGGAGAGAGAAATGTCCATCGAGGTTGGGTTCTTTTTTGTGGGCCATGAGATAAACTTCAACTGAAACAAACTCCTGGACCCTGCAATCAAATAAAACTAAAGGAAATAAAAACAATAAACCAAATGAAACCAAATAAACCTCCCGGACCCGGAAATGAGAACCAAATGAAGCAACATTGGATAGTACTTGGGAGTTTGGACATGGGAAAACCATGAGCTTTCCGGCCACGGAATCATGTTCGAGATGCTTCCGCATCTAAGCTTCACCTGAAGTCTTTTGGTTGAGAGTCCGACGAGGCCTCTACAAGGCACGAGCCTCAAACTATCCAGGAAGGGAGCTCACCCTATCTCAGTTGCCCCTTAGGGACCCAGAACTAAAAGGTGATCACCTTTTGGCACCTCTACCAAAAATGGACCGACATGGGAAAACCAAAAGGTCAAAAGGTCGGCTTTGGACAACTGAGCAATGAGCAATGGTTTTTGGAGGCAAAAGCCAATTTTAAGTTGGAATTGTGTAGACCTTGGGCAGCGAAACATGGCCAGCCAGGACAAATCGCTGAGAGACCCAAGGTGTTATGCCCTGCTTTCTGAAGTCAGGTTTTCTGTTTACGTTCTTGCAGGCGTTTGCATGCAATTTACCAAGCAATGAAGCCTATTCAAAGGGACACCCATCCGCAAAGAGGACAGCTGTGTGTCTCGTTTTCTTCCCTTCCCAGACTCTAGAACTTAGATCCAAAGAGGGAGAAAGCCTCCGTGGGCGAGTTGGTACCAGCAGTACTCAAACCATTAATTGGTGGTTTGGATTGGTGCTTTGGGGATTCAACCCCTGTTTCTTGCAGAGGTTAAATGGGGAACCACCCAGAAACAACTGGTTTGGGGATTTAAACCTCTGGTTTTTCAGAGGGTAAATGGGAAACCACCCAGAAACACCGCCAAACCACCGTTCTGCAAACCACCAATTTTCAAACTCCTGGTTCTTGCAGAGCTTAAATGGGAAACCAGCCGGGAACAACTGCCGAGGGGCGTAAGATTCCGAGACCTTCGCCAAGGGCGAGTTGGATGGAGATGTGGTTACCGAGGGCGGTCTCTGAGCCTGGCGAAAAGCCCAGAAAACTTGGCTAGGTCCTCCAGTAGAGAGGTTAGAATAAGGGTGGGGGGTTTGCTTTTCAAAAAAAGTTGGTAAAAGGGCACTACTGGGGCACCTAGTTGGACAATCAATCACGCAAGTAGCAAACTGCCACATGTTTGAAGTTGCAACGGCATGCCCACAACACCAATAAGCTGCATGTGGGCCACAGCAAACGTGCCAGCGGGGCAGTGCAGCAACCGAATGTTCCAATTCTGACGTGGCCTGGGCCAATCCCCATAGAGTGACTGAGATGCTGTTTGCTGTGCATGTGTCTTCAACAGAAGCTGATGCACGATCACGGCAAAGCGTCATTGTGCGCAGTGGGCTTAAAAACCCGGGACACGGGTATGAAGAAGGGGTGAGCGCAACCATGCGCAGAGACTCACACATTTCGAGGTAACCAACAATAAAAGGGCACCAAGGAGCCAAATGCGCTGGAACCTTCACTCAACCTTTCCTCTTGCCCGGATTGGTTGTCATCTGAGAGGCTGAAGGCTGGCAAACCAACAGTTTCACTTGGTTGAAGTTGGAAGGGGAGCAAAAAAGAATCAATTTTAGCAGTTAAGTGGTTGGATTTCTCTCATTAAACCACAATTTGCGCAAAAATGTTTCAACTGTTTCCCAACAGCAAAAAATGTTCAAGTGGCGCTGATGAAAGCCAACTGGACCAGAGGCCCTCTACCGCAAACGCCTGCACCAGGCGTTGCCCCCAAAAGAGAAAACGCGCTCCCAACATCAAAGCCTCAGAGACAGTTCCAGCTGGGCCTCACCCGGATTCACAGATGGGTCTGAAAATAGGGGCCCCCAAAGAATGCGAGTCGTTTTTGTTTGGTTTCTCTTACGGCTCAAGGCGTCCAATTGCGTAAGCCGCAACAAAATGAAATATCTTTCCAGCAGTGATAGATTCCGTTTAAAATCAAGAAGGGAAAGTAACAAATATTCATTACTGCAAATGGAAGAAGGTGCACCCACAAAAAACGTGCCACACCTAGAAGGGGGACCCACAAATATTCATACAGCCAGGGAGGTGTCCGATTTTTTTTGCAGCGCCTCCACCGTCAACGGCTCCAAGGGACGTGGCTCCATCCTGGCGAGTCCAAAGAGGAGCTTGGCAGACCTCGGCCCGGTGACGTGAGAGACCTGCAGCCCTCATGTCTCAACCAGGTGACTTGGTTGCTGTAATGACCCCTCTGTAAAAAGTTTGGAAACCCTTTGCTTTCAACCAAAACGTTAAAACGCAAAGAAAAACAACTAAAGATCTAAACCAATAGCAATCAATGTGAATAAGGGTAAACTTGACGCCTCGTTCTTCAGTGGCGTGCCGGACACCAAAAAAAGGCGAAGCCCTTCTTGCCAAAAGCACCGAATGCCCTTAAGCTGTCTTCATATTTGAAACACCTGGCGCGCTGCAAATATCTCAGTTGGCTCCTCAGCCCGAAAGCTCCCTCATTGCAGGCAGGCGTCAGCAGCGCCAGAGCAACGACTAAAATGTAGCCTGGGGACGCAACTTCTTCGGCCCACGGGCAAATGCGAGGGTGATGTGAGGGCACGCAAAAAGGCAACAATCTGTATGTCTTGGACATGAGACAAGGAAAGGTGGCCATAAGTGGCGTGTTGCGCTTGCTGTACTGCAAAATTTTCAGAAAACACTCGCTTGCTTATATCTCTGGGGTGCCTGTGTCTATCGTCTACAAAAGCTATCTTGCCCCAGTTCATTCGGCCAACCGTCGTTTTTGCCACCCTCCTCCCCACACCCTCAGCCACACACACACACACACGCACATGACACGCACACGCACACGCACACGCACGCAAACGCACACGCACACGCACACGCACACGCACACGCACACGCACCCCCCAAGAATAAAACAGGTTCGCCGAAATCCCAGCTCGCAAATACTAAAGGTGGAAAAGAAACACTTCTCAGCCAGACCCCAGAAAGGCCAAGAAAAGTCCAAACCTTTTGCCACTAACTTGGAGGTTTTTCCAGACCACTTTTGGAACTTTTGCAACTTGCGTGGTCTGAAGCTGCTCCCAAATTGGTCTTGTCAGAGCCCAGAAACTCGAAGGCCCACCGCCCCCCGCCTGCCAACAGCAGCGCCAGGCCGGCGGTGAGGTGGGCCGCCAGGGACAGCAGCGCGCGGCGCAGGGCGGCTTTCCCCCGTCCGCGGCCTCAAAACCGAGCGAGAGCACGCGACACACATACGCCTCCCGTTTCCTGTAGATGGACGAAATCCATTTCGCACCACGTCAAAAGCCCTGGAATGATACGATTCCCCTGTAAAAACCAACGAATAATGGTTTCTAATGGTTTCAAAGTGGTGCAGGATTTTGTCCATCCACAGCATGTCCAACGTGAATTAAGACAAGCTGTGCTGTAAAAACAAAGGGGGGAAAAAGGGAAAAGGGTAGATCTCTAACTTGCTGCAATAAGCTGGGAATGAGAAATGCAATGAACATCTGTGAATTAAGAACAGCCGTAGGGACCTGGAAAAACTGGGTTGAGGTTGGAAGGGCAAAAATTCAACTGCAGTTCACCTGAAAATGTAAAACCTGGGAGCTTCACTAACTTGCTGCGAGAAGGGAAGGAGAAATGGAATGAACCCAGGCTTTGGTCCCCTTAAAGGAAACCAGAAGGGATGGCTTATAGTCATTCCCTCTCCTACTGAGCACCAGCAAGCGAAATATGGACAGAAATATTGGGAAAACGAAAAGGTCAAAATGTTGCTTTTGGACAACTGAGGATCAGGGGAAATTAGTGGGTTTGAGGTTGTTTGACTTTTGCCCTCAAGAATCCCAAGCCACCACTCCAGAGCGGGAAACCTGACAATGGGCAGGTTTGCCCAAACAAAACCGAGCAATGACTCCAACGCAAACAACGATGATTGTACGCCCTGTCCAAAGCTTCTATTGAAAGAAATCAAGGGAAACGGCAATAAACCAAGACCAGGAACGAAACAAACAAAACTGGATCCCCACCAATTGAATGTGCGCAAACGGGCAAACCCTGCCCACCTTCCAACCAGGTACTGATTCGACCCCAGGTGGATGAACCACCGCTTATTCAGGCGGGTAACCCTCAAACAAATCCAGAACAGGAAGCCCTGATGCATCATTGGGCTGTCAACCAAAGATGCAGTCGATAACGGGCAGGGAGAAAAGTCTATGTAACCACCCCATGAGGATGATCCAGATTGAATGATGCATCCTGTGGCGATGCCTTCCTTCATTTACCAAAACATACCAACTCCAATCAACTTGCAAATCTCTTCTTGACCACCCGACCCGCCCCTCCACAAATTGAACATAATGAAATCAGAAATTGGCTGTACTGTATTTAGTCAACCGGCTGCACTCCAATATCACAATATTCCATTCGCGACGGGCGCCAACAGGATGTTGCTCAAGCCGCCACAAGAAGGTTGACATTTTCGGGGCAGTCAAGGCTTAACACACTTCGGCCTTGTGAAGTTGTGAGCTGAAGCCACAAATCGGCATCCTTAACCAGACCCAAAGCCGACCAGATGGAAATGACTAAAACAATCCAACGTCGCCAGGTCGCTGCATAGGCATCTTTGCCTGAGAAGCGGGGTGCAACCGTGGGAGGAACCATTCACCAAGGCCCGAGTCATCTTGGGGCGCCCAACAAAATAACTTCCGACAACCTCAACAGGTCAACTCCGATAGCATGTCGGAGCCGACCAGTCTGGCGTCTGAATCGCTTGAGAAGATTGCACCACAAAGCCCTGAGAGGACATACTTTGGGCATGTTCAAAACCTTCTGGGGGAGTTAGATTGTTTGGTTTTCCTCAAACGTGAGATGTAAATAAACCGCTTCCATGAGGCAGTTGCTTGTTGGTTTTCGGTTTGTCAGCCTTGGCTCTGAACTGGAGAAACGTACCCTCTGTCGCTCCAGAACTAGTGCACGTCAAACAGGGTGACCGCAACAAACAAAACAGTCTGATCGCCCCAAAAAAGTGGTGGTGCCAAGCCTTTGCTTCAATAGAGAATCCGAGCAACAATGATGCTCGATGAATCTGCTTTTCGACCGGGACCTTGCACTTCAAGAGCACCAAGAACATCCACAAATAGCAACATGGCTGATGTCATTAAAAACCCTAGTGGTGAGGTTGCAACCCGGCCAAGACCAGCACCAGGCGAGTACAAACGCATTGCAGTGCGTGGCCACCGTCCACTTCAGCATCCGTATGCACCCGCGCTGCCGGCCATGCTGAAATTGAACTAAACGGGAAGCCTGTCCTGCAGGCGTCATGCAACACATAGCTCGGCACCTCGAGAGCCGCAACGGCCAGAAGACCACATCAGCAAATTGAGCGGAGCTTTAGCTCCCGGTCTAGTTCTGAGAAGGGTAGCAAACCAAAACAACCTGCTTAAACCATGTGCCTTCGTCATAAGCCCGGGAGCATTGCAAATGACTGCTTAAGAAACCTTCACCGAATTGCCTCCTGCTCGTTGTTGCATCTTGGAACTCCTTGACAAAATCTAATGACCTGAACTAGGTCCTCCAGTGAAGAGGTTAGAATAAGGGTACCCGTTTTCTGTAGTCAGTTTTACTAGGGGAACCCTCCCCCAAAAAGTTGGTAAACAGGGGGATCTAGTGAAGCTGGGGATTCTCACCGACTGTCCCATGGCCAATCCAAAGCGTCCGTTCTCGCCGCGAATTTCCAGCGAGGTGCCACCGCCCGGCAGATCGTCGCGGATGTGGCGCGGCTGGCGCCGCCGCGGCGGGCGCCGCAAGCTCCGCGCCCGAAGGGGCCTTGGGTGCAATAAAGAGCTTGACTCGGTTGCTTTCTGTTCCCCTGCTAAACGTGAATAACTTTTAGCGGTTTAATGGAAAACCCATTAGTGGGCAAAAAGTCATAGTCCTAACATCCAAGCAACATGCACCAAAGGAAAAACGAAGGTTGTTTGGAGTTAGGCCAGGCTGAATGACTTACTGGCCAGTAGTTCTGAAACTCTTCATGCCAGCCACCACTTCTCCTCGGTGCCACGAACACCTCGCTAAACGTGTGGCCTGCTTGGTGAATCGGACCACGGCATGCGGCGAGACATGGCTTTCATTCTGGTCCTCATGATGAAACAGCACATGCAACACCACTCAATGCCAGCGAACGGGCAATAGCAGGCATCCCTCTTCTTGCAGCCCCCATGATTCCTTTCCGTCGCCTGGGAGTTTGGAAGCCCCAACTGGCGTTTGGGTGGAAGGACAAGATGCCCATGCAAAGGGGCATCTAAAAACGGCACTGGACAGCTGGTTGAAAAGGAAGGAACACAGAACAAAGTAAATCCCTTGACCCTCAAATGACATAGCATGATTTGGGCGTTTTTTGTTTCCTAGGTTGGTAGAAATCCTTGGCGAGGCAGTCGTTTCTGTCCAATAATCAGGTGCTTGTGTGCTGTTGACACTTCTGATCGCTCCCCAACAATGTACAACTGGAAGCTTCCGAGATTCGCGGGCGTTTGCGGGTTTTTGCTGGCGTTTGCGGGTTTTCTTTCGCCGGCGTTTTGCAGACAAACTCAGCTGATGGGCCTTTCACAAAGCCTTGGAAGCAGTAACATGAAGGTGGCTGTGGCACCTGTGGGTGCGTTTTTTGAGGGTAGCACTTGTTTTTGAGGTTTTGAAAATGAAATCTCAAGGAACACAAGAAAGGAGTTTGGTAGTGCGAGCTCCAGCTCAGGCATGTGAGTCCAGGGGCGACCTCTTCCAAGGTCTGCGTGGCGGAAGCTGGCTCCGGCTCCAGAGGGAGCTCCTCTTGCACCTGGCTAGCCACGAGGCTGGTTCACATGCACTCAAGATGTCAGCTTCATTGGTCGGGGCTTTAGGGGCTAGAAGCGAGGTCCTAGCACTGAGTTTTTTTATCAGCTTTTTACACCCGATCGAATTCAGAATGCCGTGCCACGCTCACATGAGCGCACTTCCGTGCCGAGGATTGAAGGGAATTGCCTTAAAGGCCGCTGCCTTTTCTGCATCAATGGTCGCAAAAAAATGAGAAGCCATTCCATTTCCTCTACCTGTGAAGCACAGATTCTACACATCCAATCCTGGGCGACGAGCCCCTCTCGACCCTGCCTCGAGGAACCAACAAATGCCAATGCCTTATTGGGTGACAAGTCTTTTCACGAGGATCCTTGCCTCCTGTCAACTTCCAATTTGCTCATCTCGTCTTGCGGTATATCCCGGTCACTTGCTCGAAAGGCCAACGCGCCAGCCATTTGGGAGGGAGCGTGGTTTGGACTTTGGACTAGTGGTTTTTGAACCCCTGGCTTGAGGGTAAATAGGCAGCCCTTCCTGAACCACCAAACCAGGCTCCAAACAACCAATTGGTCAGCTTCCTTTTCTATAAGTGTTTGGACCTTAGGCACCTTCCCCAGATGGATTGAAAAGGAACTGGGGCTCAAATCCCCAAGCCGCCAATCCAACCCACCAAGTAAGGGTCACCTGAATTGGAGGGAAGCTGACCATCGAGCCGCCCAACTCAAAAACCATCCGCGACACGCCACGGAGGCGCCTGAACCGCGGCAGGCGGTAGGCCCGCCTGAAACTCGGCGAATCACTTCTAGCTTGTCCCTGGCTCAATTCCCATCGAGTGGACGACCCAACAAAGATAGCCCCACATGTTTGTATCTAAAACTTCAATTTGTTTGAGAATATGTGTTATTTCCTTGTTCGGTTTTAAAGGGAATTCTAGACTACTGGAAACATACATATATATATATATAGATTCCAGGGGGCTTAAGCGAATGGAAGAGAATGGTCCAGCCCCAAAAATTGGCTCAAGTTCTGAAACTCGGGAAGTGAGCTTGGTGCCATTCCCAAAGAGTCTGCTTTCGCAGGTGAGTCATATTCAAAACCAGGGAGTAAAACTCGGTCGTAATCCCAGAACCATGCTTCAAGAATGAAGAAGGCGGATATCCGCAACTAACCTTCATCTACCCGGGCTTTGATTGTGGCTCGGGAAGGAGCCACCCTGTGGTGGGCGAAACGGGAGACGTTGATGCAGTCAAAACGGGCCCAGTCTTTGAAAGGCTGACTGGACCCTCCATCCACCACGCCCCAGGAAAGCTGAATTACAACCGTCTTGCTACTGCGCTGACCCGGCAATTTAGACTAGGTCCTCCAGGGAGTCCTCCAGTAGAGAGGTTTGAAAAAGGGTACCAACTTTTTCTGTAGTCTATTTTAGTAGGGGAATCCTCCCCAAACAAAAGGTAAAAGGGCACTACTGGGGGACCTAGTAGAGCTTCTGCTTTTCATCCCGCAAGGGTCAGAGCGGTTTAAAAATGGATCTCTGCTTGCGGCAAGGGCAACGGAAGCGCGGATGCGCGATGTCCTTTGCGTTGCCCCCGAGAAAACACAACCTTTCCGAAGAGATATTGGAAAGCACACTCACACATGCCTCCGAGAAACCAACAGGAAAACGGCAAAGTGGGGGGGGGGGGTCCGATGCCAAAATGAAAGGCACACCCAAGTGGACAGGGCGATTCAAGCGTGGTTGCTGTTGATCCCTCTGCAAAACGTTTTGCAGTTTGTGGGTCCCAATGAAAAATCTGACCTGTTTCAACCAACAAGTTGAAGTGCACAGATCCGTTACCAAATACCCATAAAGACACACACACACATGTGTTTTCATGATGTTGTCCACCCGTTTCTTGTCCATGATGTTCTCCACATAAAGTCAAGATCAGGTAACCCTTGCTTGGTGGTTTGGGCTGATTTGGGGCTTTGAACTGCTGGTTCTTGTGGGTTTGCATGGGGCACCCCCCCAAGTCACCACCAAACCACTGGGCCCCCAAACCACCAAACAACGTGGGAGGCCAAGAGGACAGTTCCAAGCCAGGCCCCGTCCGCATCGGCCAAGCTGCAAGGAAGGAGGTGACGTTCAGGCGCAAGGGCGCCTGGGGTTCTTCGCGCTCGCGTCCTGGCCCTGTGCGCCGTGCACATGTCGCAGGGCGCCTGGGGGGGGGGGAAATGGGGGCCCCCTCGCGGAAAACGCGCGACAAAAATCCATGGCCCATCACGACGCGCAGGCAGGGCCTTGTTTTTCGACAGCAGTGCCTGTCGCACGGAGGATAACTAGACCTCCTCTGCTCTTGAGTTGCTGAGCAAAGGATTCCTGGCTCTCTGGCAGCACACAGTTGGTCCACTTCATATGGGGCTCACAGAGGGAGGGGAGGGGACCAACATTTTATCGGCTAGCTTGCATTTTGAAGACGAAAGCAGTAGCTGCAAAAATGAGAACCAGAGTGAGCAATGCGGACCTAGACCTCGTGCAAGTGTGCTTGCAGTCCTAGCTGCATGGAGGCAGTTCTTCCTTCTTGGTTTGTCTCATGTAAATCTAGGTCCTCCAGTAGAGAGGTTGGAATAAGGGCACCCGTTTTTCTGTAGGCTTTTTTGTAATAGGGGACCCTCCCCCAAAACAAATTGGTAAAAGGGCACTACTGGGGGACCAAGCAATGGTACAGAGCAAGATTGAAGTCTGTTGCTCAACCCCCAGCCAAGCGCAGTAAACTTGTGAGAATTCCTTGTGCGGCCCGTGTGCGGGATTGGCTGGCGTATCTCAGGGGCGCCACATGCCATGCAACTACTTGGAACTTCCTTACATTTCACGTGTTTAAGCCCCCCGCAAAAGTAAAAATTATTCCAATAGTAATAGATTCCCTTTAAAACCAACAGGAGAAGATACAACATATTCATTTCAGCACATGCAAGTTCTGGGCAACTTGGCCTCAGGAACCCCAGTGTGCTACATCTCGCAAGACGGAAACCGGGGGCTGCTTCCCAATTAGACCCGGCTCAAGCGGAGAAAAAAGGCAGGCAACATGCATTGGAAGCTCAGCAAACATCTGGCTAGGGGGGGGTAGGATCAAAGAGGAACAGCTTTTCGGTTCGCCCAAAGAGACAAATCAAACAAACATTCAGAAATGGATCCCCTGTACTCACTTCCGATCGAGTGGACTGGCAAAGAACAGTCCAAACTGTCTGTTTGCAAAGTCCACGGACTCACACTGAAGCTTCGCAATTCGCAAGTGTCCCAGTGCCTCTACCCGAACTTTCCCAGTAAGGAAAGGCTGCATGGTTGCTCTGAGGCCTTAGCGTGCCATCGTCCCAGGGACCTAAACTTTGGCCTACATAATTCAAGGGACTGTTCTTTGCTCCAAAGACTAGGTCCTCCAAAGAGGTTAGAATAAGGGTACCAATTTTTCTGCAGTCGATTTTAGTAGGGGAACCCAATCTCCCAACCAACAAAAGGGGTTTTGAAAAGGGCACCAATTGCTGGGGGACCTAAAAGAGTTGCCATCCTTTCGGAAGCGATCGGATTGTCGAGCCTTGAACTTTAGAGGCGAGGTCATGCGGATCGGATCGAACTACTTGCGATCGGTGCGATAGCTAGGGAATGTCTTGGTCGACGTTGGCAGGGGAGCAAAAATTGAAATTTTAGCAGTAGTTGGATTTTCCACTAAACCACAATAAGCAAAATGCAAACTGTTTCCCAACAACAACCATGATGTGGGAATGTGGGAATGATCCCAGTCGGATTTCCGAGTAAAGGAAACCACCAGTTGGATGGTTTATGGGGGTCATTCCCTCATTCCCTAGCAGCCAGATTCCGGGACAGTGACTTGGCCCGTAACTTCAGCTCAACATGTAATGGGGTCACATTTGTTCGATCCCCACCTGCGTCTTCGCAAGCTTCGTCAGCTTCTGGCACCGAGGTGAGACTGCTGTTGGTCACCTGGGATGAAGCTGCGCCGCTGAGTCATGTCATCACGACCTATCGGTATTTTAATTCGGTCTACCCACCATGTAAAGAATTAAAAACGGCACTCATTGGGTGGGATGATCCCTGGGTGGTCATGTTGATGCAGGTCTTGCTACATCGGCCGTAGCCTGAAACATGCACCTGGCCTGTGAAGCTGTCGCAAGTGCATGCTGTTGACATCCTTTCACTCTACCATCTGGGGGGTGCTTCAGGCTCGGGATTGGCAAGCTTACCAACTTGTGAGCTTCAACCTGGTGCCACATCTTCTAGCGGAAAGCTCGTGGGCTTTTGACGTTGTCTTCCCAACATGCGCACTGGTGCAAATCGCCCCCTATGTCAGTCCTCCCCCTCCCTCTCCCTCTCTCTCTCTCTCTCTCTCTCTCTCTCTCTCTCTCTCGCTCTCTCTCTCTCTCTCTCTCTCTCTCTTGTTCCATGTCAGGACGACTCCCCCCATTTTCCCTTAGGTTGTCCATTCGCATAGCACCATTCACATTCCATATTGCAGTCGTAGGGTACGAAGCGTTCAATCTGTGATGGATTCCCCATCTCAAAGGGCCCTCTTAATGTGCCAAGCTGATTCATCCGTGTGCTCCGTTTCATCTGTTCCATCTCAATTTGGTCGGGGTGGCATCAAAAAACAATCAGGCTGGTCTGAAAACGCAAGGCACCCATGCCCTAGTGATCGCTTTATGGGGACATCTTGCCCTGCAAAAAAGAAAGGACATGTCTCATAGGTTGAGGGAACCTCATGGGTTACAATCGAGAAAGCACCAAAGAGCCGGAAACATCCCCCAAAGTTTGTCTGCGTTGACTCACTCAAATCCCTTTGCTTTCCTAGGTCCAGTCGAGAGGTTAGAAAAAGGGTACCAACTTTTTTCTGAAGTCTATTTTAGCAGGGGAACCCTCCCCCCGCCCCCCCCCAAAAAAAAACACACACACACACACAAACACTACCTTGGGGACCTTGTTTCCCTTTAGCCCACCAAGAGCTATGGAAACTTGCGCCCCGACGTTTCCCCCTACTAGCGGCAGGGAAGCCTGGGCAAGTCCGAAGCCTGAAGTAAACAAAAAAGAGCCATGTTCCAGCACCCTCCATGTCAATTGGAACCCAAAATGGCTCAAACGAGGGCACATTGGGACGAATGGACAACCCTTGGAGGGCGCAGGTTGGCAACGCAATCTTCAACATGTGTTTTGCATTTTTCTGCAAAACACGAAGACCCCAGCAATGGAAACTCCAACACCTGGTGTTTGTTTTTTTGTGCTCGCTCTTCTCCTTCTTCTTTTTTGCGGAAGCCATGGCAGATCTGAGCCCTCGGGCCGAGCGCTTCGGGGAGCCCCACGCCTCCCCGCGGCGCGGCCTCGCGAGCTCCAAGGTTGGCCCCCAAAATGACCCGGAAAAAGATGATCACCTTTGGGACCTCTGAAAATGGGTGGCCTTTCAACTGCATGGAGTCTTTGGGTTTCAAGTTTTCAACTTTACAAGTTGGAACCTGTGAGTTCCATGTTTGGACCGTTTGTTTTGCTTCAAGAGGGCTTTCACTACTCACTTGCCCCGGGGGGAAAAAAAAAACAGGAAATAAAAGGTGATCGCCTTGTGGGCTACCATGGCTAAAAAAATGAACCCAAAATGGGAAAACCAGATCCGGTCAAGAGGTCGTCTTGCTCTGCGGCAAGTGAGACCCACATGGAACCTGAGGTTTCGGGGCGCTGGAAGACGGTTTTGAGCGCTCTCTCTGGGCTCCGTTTTCCTTTCAAAAGGGACCCGTTGGTCGTGTTGGTGGGCAACAAAAACATGTCCAACTGCCACGCTGGAAGCCATCCATCGAAGGCCCATGCGGATGGATGAGACGAAAACCACCTGGAGTTTGGTGTTGCCATCCGAAGCTTTGTGGATTTCCATTGGCGCAAACATGGAAGAACGCACCCGGCCTTAGAAAGAAGAAAGGCTACGTGAAGCTGCCAACAAGATCCAACAAGAAGTGTTCAGTCCAAAGATGAGCTGCCAAATAGCCATAGAGGAAAGCCGAATCTGGCCACATTTTTCCCCTGTGAGCCAGAGCCCACACGGAGCCCACGCAGCCTACACTCTTCTTTTTTTTTCAGGGCCAAGCTACGCGCTGCCTACTACGCAACCCTCAGATTTGCTTGCCTCGGCCCTCCGGCGTAAAGAGACTTCTACTAAAAAATGAAGAAATTCCACCCTGACCGAGTCAGGTAGGTCTGACCATGGGTTCAAAGCTACGCATCTCCAATTTGGTTGGGTCCGAATCTTGGTGTATGCACGACAAGCAAAGTCTGGTTCTTTGCACATTCCTTGGGTACATTGTGCAACAATGAGTGTTGGATTTGGGAGCTTCAGAACGGGATCATGGCTACGATCAGCTCCGTACCAGCACTAAATCAGAGCTTTGCATCTTTTGGGTGTGCTGTGCCAGAACTTCGGGGCTGCCCAATGGGCTTGCGGCCCGAAGGGTTGCCAACGATACCTGCGCGGCCTTTGGGTCACTTGCTTCACAGTCTCTCACACAACGAGCAAAGGGCGCTTGGATTTGCATCAAGCTGCATTTGCCTAGCCGAGTTCCACATCCGTATCAAGCTTCCTGCTTTCAGATGCTTACTAGGGAACTCGGGCACGGATCCCAAACAAAGTAATATCAAAGCAAAAGCGGGTGAATTCCGTAGCCTCCAAGCACCTGACACACATTCACCTTTTGTAAATGCCAACGGACTGTCCCCCGGAATCGTCGGCAAAAACAACACTTAGTGTCAAGCAACCTTGTAGGAACTCGGGTGGGGTCATTAACTTGGCTTGTTCCGTTCAATTCAGTTCTTTGTCAGTTATTATTGTGTATTTTATGTGGCTTCAGATTATTCCGTCCAGCTCGTTTCATTCGTTTGTTTGTTCGCTTCCTCGTTCAGTCTGTTTAGCCGTTTGGTTATTCATGCGTATGCGCGTGCAAGTCTTTGCATTCAGGTTCACATTGTATCATGGCGACATCCACTCCAACCCCGCCCCAAGCGCACCGATGCCATTTCAAACAAACCTTAAACCCACCTTAAACTCACCCTAAAGCACCCTACATCACCCCTCACGTGGCCCTTAAACCCACCCGGAAACCCAACCCGCTCGCCAGCCAACACCCACCCAACCTCCGCCAACCTGCCCGCCCAACCTCTGCACATCCCAAACGCAGCCACAGGACAAAAGGGAGGAAAGGAACGTCCTTTTGACTTACATTCCCCTTGTCTTCAGGTGGGTTCTGAATTCTGCTTGAAAGCCACACCGAAACCCAACTCACGTGACTGAATTTCGTGCCCTGCCTCGATGGTCCCCGTGGGAAGGGAAACGGCATGGCGCCTGCCAAGCAACCAAAACCCAGCAACCAAAGCTCCAGTCTTCAGCTGACATGCAACATGCAAAAACGCTCCGGCCACAACTCAAACTCCACTCAGCCACTCCAATCCCAAAGTGGCCCTTCCAAACAGGACGCCCATCTGGGGATTTGTGAAGTCCAAAAGGTGAGAGCCCCTTTTCGCGTCCTCACATGCTGATGGCCAAATGCCTCTTTTTGAGAGCCGGGTACCCTTTCGAAAAACAGGACACGACGAGTAAAACGACAATCTTTCTAGGAGTTGATTCCTTTTCCATTCTTTTCAACCATCGTCCTTTCCAAAAACCGGCCGTTTCTCTCTGGGTTTCCAAAGGTTTTCTACCTGAGGCACCCAACGTGCCCTTTTTTAGGTACGAGAAAAAAACGCTCGAATTACCAATTTCTGCTCGAACCCCCAAAAAACGCTCGCCCCCCGCAAAACGCTCGACCAAATCCCCCTTCTTTCATCCAGAGGAAGGCGAGCATTGCTACGTTTTTAACATGTGCACACGTTTGCGGATATTTGCGCTCGTTTTGTGGACGGATATTTGCGCTCGTTTTGCACTTCGATTTCTGCTCGCTCTTCTCGAAAATTCAGCGACCGATCATCTTGGAGGACCGATCAGCCCGGTTTTTGGAGAAACGCTCGAAGCAGGACAAAGTGCACGTTTACCATATTTTGGTGACGACCTAAGGGCAGAAAATTTAGGCGACGAAGGGTACTCCAAGTAGAAAGAAGGATCCCTGGAAGGAATGGGGTAGGCACTAGAATCTTTGAAGGGGGCAAGTACTTGTTCCAGTCGGAAAACCGGAGCCCTCTCAAAATAGGGGAACACTTGGCGGGGACCGCGTTGGGCTCGCCATCAATCTGCGCCTGCAGCCGGCGTTGGCATGGGCTTCTCCAGATCCTAGCGAGCAAGTTGCAATGAACTGAACTGAAACCAACCCAAGAAACAAACAACCCTCATATCTGGGCTGCCACTCAGGTCCCCTGCTAAAAGTTTCATTTTTAGTGGGCCAAATGGAAACCCCCACTAAACACTAAAAGTCTAAGAAGCTAATGGCTGGGAGCCATCAAGATATATGGGTGTCTTTTTGGGGGAGACCTCTTTTGGTTTTTGCAAGGGGAACCAACCGGAACACCACGATTTTCTGCAATTCCCTGAAAAAACAGCCATATTAATGTTGCAAAGGGTTCAAACACAAGCACGCTGATTTGCAATATTATTATTTTAAAACGTGCTGGTAACTCCTGGTAGCTCCGGAAGGCTACCCTTGCTACAAGCAAATTTGGATAGCCCGAACTCCTGGCCCCTTCTGACCACCAGCTGGTTCCCAAAAGAGTGCGAAAGGCTCTTGATCAGCGCCAACGTAGAACGCAAAGTGCGCATGTCTACCGGCTAACTGCGGCTCGAGAATGGCAACTTTCAGTACGGAAGCTGCAAGCGAAGCACATTCTTCCCGCTGGGCTTTGAAACTCGCAGCTTTCAAGCACGAAAGTAGTACGAGCGCTCTCCCGCAGCGGGAGCGTGGAAAGCGCAACGCGACGTATATTTTCGCAGCCGGAGCGTCGGATAGCGAACTTTCAGCTGCAAAGTAGCACTCGCAACTTGTCTAGCTCCTCGAGTAGAGAGGTTAGCCCTCCCCCAAAAAAGGGCAAAAGGCCACTACTGTTGGACCTGGTTGAGTAAAAAGCACCGGCAGATTGAACCACCCACATACTCAGCTGACGCGTTTTTGTTCTGTTGTTTTTCTTGTTTTTCTCCCTCTCGATGTCGAGAGAAGTCGGGTGAAGCCAGGGGAGCCTTAAGCTTTAAGTATGAAAGTAGTGAGCGAAGCGCGCTCCCGCTCCGGGAAGTGTAACTTCTGAGCTCAAACATCGAACTTAGAAATCAGTCGCAGCCAGCCTTGAATTACAAAGCTTGCCCCCGGTGTAAAACGTAGTGAAGTAAGCTCCGGCAGCTTTTTCTCGAACATGGTAGCTTTGGAGTAGAAAAGTAATATTTATGTAACCAATGATCACATCTGCAATCATGCACCATCGACCAATTCACGTCACCCAAAATAGTTTGTGAGCCAGGGCCCTGGTTGCAACTGACCACCTGTCCAGGGGTTTTACACCTTTCCCCCCCAAGCGGTCAGTGATGCGCTCCTCGCTGGGGGCCGCTTCTGGCTCGCTGGGGATGGCCACCACCTGGACGGGGGAGGAAGAGGAACCATAGGGGTTGGTTCCTTGTCCATTCTTTTCCACCATCGTTCTTTTCTCAAAAACCGGCCATGGGTTGCAGAAGTGTTCTAGAAAGAAGGATCGGGGAAGTTGCCCTCAGAACCACGATGATCAGTCATTGAGGGGGAGAGGGGGTTGGGGGGTCCCCGAATTCCATTTAGCCAGGCTGTTATCCAGAAAGGGAAAATGGAACCAGAAGTGGAATTCCAGGGAGATATTTTTTGAATAAAGACCGCGGGTCAGTAAAGCTCCTTCTCTGCCGGCGGTCGTTGCTCAGAAGCTGGGTCGCTCACAACAGAGGTCAACATGCGGGATCCCGGTGGATACAAGCAATCTCAGCACAGCGCCCCAAAAGCAGTCATCTGGCTGACATCGTGGACCTCGTTTTTGGACCCATTTGAAGGCTTAAGGAGTAGCAGCTTGAGGCATGCCCCGGGAGGGAAGCTACTGGGTTCAGCGTCAAGAACCCAAACACTGCATCAGACAAACTCTCTAGGAAGATGCGAGAAATGTGTATAAATCAAACATATACAAATAAATGAATGCCGCCCGCCCGCTTCCCGCCTCTACTGTTGCCTCCTCTGTCTCAGTGGCCTCGCATCATTTGGCAGGGAGCCCGCGGTGAGTCACGAGGTTACTGGGTGGCGGTCATACGCGTATACTTACCTGCACTAAATCATTTTCAGGCATGCATCCAAGGGCAACTTCGACCCTTATGACAGGAAAATCCGGTAGCCCCAGTACCGCTCCCTCCCTGACCGTCTCGGGTGAGCTTCAAGCGAATCCAATCCAGTCGCCCAACCGCAACTCCATGAAACACATTGGGGCGGCCTTGCAACTTGAAGTTCCCAACATGACAGGCAGCTGATAGCTGACTTCTAAACCGAAAGACATTCACAAGCCGGAACACATTATGTCTGTATGTGTCCACGATTGGATCTACATGGTCCTTTTGTGATCCTGAGACAAAGGGTCAGACAATAGAGAGAAAGAGAGATGTGCATGTATATATTATATATATATATATATTTGTACATATGTTTGTGTATACATGTACGGTTTTTCTTTGGCTGGCTATATCCGCAGCTCCCCACCCCGCTCTCTCATCACCCCTCTAATGCCACGTGGCGCTGCATGGTCATATGTTGTGTCCCCAAAAACCATCAAAACGTCCCCCAACTCTTAAGAAAGAAAAGAAAAACAACACAACATAGTACAACCAAGCAACAAGAACAAAGAGTACCCTCCAAACACACGCCCACTTCCCATCACCCCCCTCCCCCCCATAGCCCGTGCGCCTCTGGGATCTGCTCCAGCTCCTGAGTTTCGACCTCCATCTCTGGCTTCGGCTCCTGCAACGTAATGCTGGCCCTGTTCCCTCCAACAGTGATTCGAATCCCCACACACCCCTATCAATCAACCAGGGGTTTATTAATGCGGGGTAAACATTCTTCGCATGCCAACAAATTCCCCCAACTTTCGGGGTCTATGAACTGGTTGAGGCAAAGGAGTCACATGCTGGTTTCGGGGACATCGCAAAAATTCCGCGGCTCCGGGCCATGTGAAATCTGACGCGAAGCCGCAGGCACCTGCCTCCTTGGTAGGGCATTGGCTCATGCCATCTCCAGACGTCTTCGCCTCACCTCGTCAGCGCGAGGCGAAGTCTGGCTCGATTGGGAAGCTGTCTTGTGCGTCTTTGGCGCAGCGCGCGAACTCGTACATGGAACATGGAAACGAATCATGGCACTAGATGTCCAGTGGATTTCCATGGGAGAAAAAGGCACCCTTTCGCTGCTGGTTGAGTTTAAAGGGGAACCATGGTACCCCCAAAAAAATGAAGAACAAACAACTGGAACCTTTTTGGGCTGGTTGGGTTTAAAGAAGAACCATGGTACCCACACAAATGGGGAAGAAAAAACTTCGCAGGGCGCCGCCTAGCTCCAATGGCAGCAGCCGCGCCAGGAACCAGAGCCCGGCGCTGAGGACGAAACCCCCAAAGCCTGGGCTTGAGAGAAAGGTGTGGGGTTGGTTTAAAAAGGAAGAGAACACCAGCATTGGACCACTAATTTTGGAGTGTCCTCTAAACACAAACGCTCATATTCGCGGAACATAGCAAGTGGCTCAAGGTATACTCTTTTGGGGTTGGTTTTGGCAGGATGCCAAAAAGGAAAGCCACACATCATTTTGCGTGCCCCCCTGAAAAAGACAAAGCCATGTTCAGGGAAGGAGGGACGGTGAAAGTCATGGGCGCTGAGAGCGCACTGAGTCCTGGTGCCCAGTCCAAGCTCACTGGGCAAACTGCAACGAAGCATCTGGCCATGGGTCAAAAGCCCGCACCCTAGTGAACAGCCCAATCCCACCAAAATAGACTAAAATGGGTGGTGAATTCACCTACCCAAAATGGTTAACCCGAGGGGCTGAAGAGCACCAGGTGTTCCTCTCGGCTCAGAGCAGCAGAAAGCCACGCAACGCGTCCGTCGCGCTCCTTGTGCAGCAAGAGGACGCAGTATGCCTCAGCCGCGCGCCGGCGGTTTCCCGAAACGCGCCTCACCATGAGGGGCAAACTAGAGGCCAATTTAACAACAGTAAGCAATTGGGTTCATTCCATCCTTCTCCTGCGGAGTGGGCCAGAAATTGTATCTCCTTTCAAGGGGACACTCTGGAAGGTACGTGTTTGGGCCAAAGAAATTGTGACTCCCAGCTTAGGCGATCCTTGTAGATCGCCACCGTCATCTTCCCCTAAGATCTTCCAAACAACTCTGGCTTTTCTGACTTGCTGATTCGCGCCAAAAACCGCTTAGTCTGTGACTCACTGCTAAAATGAGAATGAAGACACTCACAACCAAGAGTTTAAAGCTTACACCCTCCCCACAGCGCATCTCTGAGCCACCAGGATCCATAAGGTCACGCCCCCAGCTGCGCAGCCAAAAAGACGCCGCCAAACCCCCGCGGAATCCTGGCGGAGCCAGCGCTGGGGCGGCGTAAATATTGCTCGGTCTCTTTTTTTAGGGAACCCCCCTTTTGGCTGCAAAGGGAATCCTATAAAAAACTCAAAAGCAAACCAATTGTTTTGGGGATGGGGGCTCCAAAAAACAACCCCATATTCACGAAAAGGGGGATCAAAATCCGGCAAAACGTGCAACGCTACTGTGGATGGATGAGATCCAACTCACACAAGGTGGGATAAGAATGACACCTTCAACCTATAGCAGTGATTTATCCACAGCATGGGTCCTACACAGCCCACAAAAACAGATCTTGCAGCCGGACGAAGAACAAACCGGGGCAAGTCAGCCCCTGAAGATGGACCGATTCAGTGGACACACTACAGGATCACTAACCTTGTCCCCAGAAAGATACGAGCCCACGCCAGTGTTGAATCACAAGGCACACCTTGGGCACTGCTTGCCCATTGTTACCTCACGGTACCTGCCCAAGGAGGCTCTACTTAACTCTTGTTGAAGTCTTCTTTTTCTGCGCAGCATCTTTCTTCTTCTCCAAGACGTCCAGCGTGATTCGGCAACATATTCCTTTCGGGCCTTGTCCATCATTAGCTCCAATCTGTTTCCATCACCAACAGGCCTCCCAAAAATCTCCCCTTCCCTCACCTTTCATGGCCCAAAAAGGTGATGTTCAAACCCACCAAAAAAGGAAATAGAGCAAATAGAGCTGCACCCCGCCCCCCACTGGCCCACTTCATCTACGCGCCTTCCAGCCGCCAAGAAGGCCCTTCTCCACGCCATACGCGCAGCAGCTCGCAGCGAGGAGGGTGAGCAACTGCAGCAGAACCAGTGGGGCGCAGCTGGTGAGGCCCAGGAACCTCTTGCTTGCGATCTGCGAATTCGGGCCGATGGATAGCCGACGCATGACTTGGCCAGTGCATATTTAGGTCCTCCAGTAGAGGGGTTAGAATAAGGGTGCCCTTTTTCTGTGTGTCTATTTTAGTAGGGGAACCCTCCCCAAAACAAGGGTAACAGGGCACTACTGGGTGACCTAGATATACAAAGCAATGTTTTCGGCTTCTGCGTCATATTTCTACGCACCCTAACAAATGAAATGGCTTTGACAACAAGTAGCAGGTATGTATCCCAAGTTCCCGTGGGTGGTTTGGAGGGAGTGGTGGAAACCCTATTGCCAGCGGAGTGCCCGAGCCTCTAACACCTCGTCCCAGATTCTGTGGTATACGGGTCCAGGTGAGGCCAAGACTTCAGTCTTACAGTGTTACATGCACGGCAAGGCGCCTTTTCGCCGGTTTTTCGCAACCTGAGAACCTAACCCAAGGTGCCAGCGGTGCATGAGTTGTATTTCCCGGGTCCAGATCCTGGATAACAAATAAACCAACAAAAACACAACCGAACTTGAAATCCCGGCAAGAACCCGGGAAGGGAATTGTTAAGCATGCAGAAGAAACAAACAGAAAGCAAGCAGCTCAGCTCTGCTCGCTCTATTTTATCCCCGTGAAGGAATCCTACGCCAGCGACGTGCTTCCTTTTCTGCCAGGGCGCATGAAGGTAGAGGTGCAGCCGGCAAGCATGCACCTGAAGGCCGCCCAAACCGCGCCTGAGCCAGCGAGGCGAAACGCAGGCGGTGCGTAGGTCTGGAGGACTCGCTGCCCCAGAAACGTACCTGTGTTACATCGGGTGACCTTTGTTCGGCAAGGTTCGAGCGGTTCGAGTCATGAGGTTGGCGCAAGGGACCAGGCTCAGAAACTTCAATTTTGGAACGCTGCAGTGACGGCGCCAAGTCCACACAATTGCGACTTGCCTGTTCCAAGCAGGTGAAGCATTCCTGCTCAGCCGCTAGCATCCCCTAAGCCCGTTCGCCTTATCATAAACCTGCCGGCTTTCGCTTAAGCCAAGCTGCCGGACGCGTCAGCGGGACGATAAGTTGCCACACCCAGGCTGTAGGCGAGGAACGCCACGAACAGCCCGAGGCCTCACGGCTCGACGCGGTCGAGGGCCGGCCTGCGGCCTGCGACCGGCGCAGTCTCGAACCGTTTTTGTGCCCGAGGTCACCGAGGTATGCGGACACCTTTGCACTGGGCACCGCAGGGTCGACTGAAGCCAAGTTCTTCAGGTGTAGGATGCATTTTGCGGAGAGAAACTGATATCTCGTTTGTCATGGGGGGTCCTGGCAATCCAACAGTTTCGCTCACGCTTTTCAGTTCACAACGCTGCACACCCGACTGACCCCATGCAGATTGGAGCTTTGGGGCAGGGCGTGCGTGCTGAGGCAAGCCTAAATTGAAGCAACAACAACAAGGTTGTTTGAAAGGGGAACATTCAACACTGAGTGAACATCCCAATCCCCACTAAAATAGACAAAAATGGGTGCACCTACCCCAAACTGGTACCATTTGTTTTGACCCACAGCCACTTGTAATTTTATTTTTGGTTCTCCCCTGCGGACCCCAAACAGGAAAATGTACTTCAGTACCGAGTCTGCAACATGGGTGTCTTTTTTGAGGGACTAATTTGGTGGGGCGACACACCCACACACTCAAGTCCAGCCTATGCATAATCCCAGAAGGTCACAGCGCACCACAGTGTCCTGTCGCGAACGGCGACAGGAAGTTTAGCTCCCCTCTTTCAAAGACTCACCCCCCCAAAAACATAAGGGGATTTTCTTGTATCACAGAAGTGGGGAAAACCCACTGATAGCCCCCTTGATCCTACAACCCTGGGACACAACCAAAACGGTATTCCAACAAGGAAGGGTCAGCGGCCAGGGCTTAAAACGCAAGAGTTGCCTGGTGGCAAGTGCCAGTAGCGAAGGCAATCCGAACCCACTGCAATGAACAACCTGGCTCGTGGCCAAACAGGAGAATTTGAGAGAGGAAGACTGAAAGCTGGTTTTGCCAGAAGTGCGCTTCAAACAACTCCTCTTCTCATCCCCCCCCGGACGCATGTGAACCAGCAATGTTGCGATGGCAATTTTAGGCAGCCGGAAAAGAAATTGTGAGCGCACGTGGCAAACCATCCCAGCCGGACAAGCCAGGAACGTCGAAACAAAAGTATGCGCCTGGGCAACGTGTGACGGAAGCACGTGGCAAAACTGCCCAGCCCTTGGGCGCTCCTCCCTCCCCCTCCCTAAAGTCCAAAGGTGAGCTTCAAGCCGGGAATCTTTGCTTACACAAGAACACACATTGCAG